CTTTTTACTGTTGCGCTAATTTATTTTTGTACCGATTAATCGTCGAAATTGAAATTTAGTTAGTTTGATACCATTATTAAGAAGTGTCTCAGTGATAAGTTCTAAAATCCAAGTTCCGAAATTTCTCGGATAATATTTGATATTACGAATATTACTCAATCGGACGTTTTAAAAATAAACTGAAAATACTTGATACCTATCAATGTCGATAGTTTAGTATCGTTCCTTTGGTACCGATAAATCTGATACGGCACTGGTATCGAGTAAAGTATCGATACTTTCGAAATGTTGTGGAACACTAAGAAGAAGAACCTAAATAGGAAATAAGGCACAACTAGACTAGAACGTAGAAACTATGCAAAAAAATCATCCGAATTTTCTGCTGATTTTTTCTAAACTAACTTTCAGTCTATTTTATGTTTGACGGGAATTTCCCTCAAACTTTCGGAGAATACCCTTCAGCTAGAACGCGACATTTTTAAATATCATATATAAACAAAAGTTCTACTAATTTTCCATAACTTGAAACACTCCAGTAAAATATTCTCTTAGAGACAAGTTTTCGTCATATTCGCAAATTTACTAACATAAAAACACTCGGAATAGACTGAGGTGAATTTGATTAGATATAGTAAAATATCAGTATTTTATGTAGATGATACTTAGCATCCCCAACAAAACTATCTCATGTATATCGCTTAGTGTTAGAAAGGGCGGCAAGAAAATCTTTCCCTGAGCGGGCCTCGTCTAGAAGTTCAGATTTTAATTCTGTGGACTGTGGCGAGTGAGTTGAGGCTATGACCTCTCGAATACCTCACACAAATTTGAAGTCTCCAAAATCTGGAACGAACAGCGTCGTTAATTACAAATACCTATGTGTGTATAGATCAATGGGCGGAATGATTGTGGGTTTAAGCAAAATTTTCGATACCCTGATTTGTTATGAACCATATTCCATGAAAAATATTGCCTCAGGCTGGTCGCGAATTGCGTTTTCGGTAATCGTTCAATTCAATTTGATGGTTGTTGTCAGTAGCGTGCCATAATGTGTCACCCTGTTTTGAAGATCAGAATAAGGCCCTTCTAATGCCGCCAAATACAGAGCATTACCGTGGCGTCATAGATATTCGGTTTGCCGTTGATTTGGCGGTTGTCCAGATTTCACGTATGATTTTTGCGTTTAGGAATGTAGGATCTATTTTTCATCACCATCACAAACCGATGCAAAAACGACTTTTCTGTAGTGACAAGCAAAATCCTCTTTCAACGTCTCGGCCAATTCATAACACTCAATTTCTGCTTATGAAATACCGGTTGCTTTTGAACGTTTTGAAATGGCTCCTATGGTGACTTCGCAAGATTCGCGAGCTTTTCTTGATATTAAAGTATTAGAGAACTTCTCGCAAAAATCTTTTACAGGTAAGTAGTTCGACATATTTGGGTGAAAAAACTTGTTGTTTACGCTTCAAATGAATGACACTGTGAAAGACGAAATAAACAGTAGTATTCCAAGGCATTTCAGATGGAACAATGGAATAATAATTAAGTTACGCACGAATATAGTTATGGATTAGATATAAAAGTTATTTCGATAGTTACACATTTAAATTCAAGAACGATTGGATCGAGTTTTATCTTTAATTTTTAATTTGTCCTTGCCTTGAAAACGGAATAACTTAAAACCTATGTACGTATATAGGATAGATACATTGAAATTTAATTCAGAGGGAACACACGATATATGTACATACAAAATCAATTCTTAAGCATTTTCTTTAGCATATAATTCAATAAAATCGGCTATCTATCCGTATAAAAAGGGTTGGTCCTCCACTTGCGCCACATTTCATCTATGGTGTGCTGCCGCTCAATCAGTAGTGTTTTAAAACAATTCGCCGAAGCGACACATCGTGCGTCAGAGAATCGCCAACAAACAGACAACGCTTGGGATCGGTCAATTATAGACATCCTTCAAAATTTCCAACGCAAAACTGCCGGTTTGCTTACTATAGTCGCTCTCGTCCTGTGAATCGCTTAAGAGTGTCGAGGAAATCGCAAAATCCTAAAGACAAAAGATTAAATCGGTTAAGTAACGTGTCGTATACCTATGTATGCTTTGCGAGTGCGAACCTATTAGAAAAGTTAGATCCTTCGTTATCATGTAACCAATCTGACCACCCGTAATAAACTGGCAATCTTTATCCGCGAGATATCGTGTGCCCGCTGCAATGCGGATAAGTTAAATTCAATTATCTAGCAAAACAGCACCATTTTTGTTCCGGTCTTGTAACTTTTCCAAAGTAGATAATTCAACGTCCTCATGGTGACCTTATAAAGGAAATGAGAAAATTATACAAATTAAGATAATTTAAAAATCCTCGGAATTTTATTTTCTTTAATTCAGAAAGTCAAATATGTCAAGGGAGTGTTTAATACGTATGGATGGTGGTGGAATTATATGAAACTCATTAAATCTATATTTATGTGACTTCGAAAGCTTATATGTAGAGTTTGAATTAACAGTGTTTAACTGGACACTAGCCTGAGTCTGACAACGCTCATGTGTAAAATATTTAAACTCTTTCAACATATTTTCGGGACCAAAGATATAAGCATGGTAGTAATAAGTTTCAGATAGAAACCGATTTGTTGTTCTATCAAAAATTTACTGGCGGTTATTTCCTATTAAAAATTATTTGTTTACACATGATACATATATCATTTGTGTTTTATTATTGAATACAGTGAGCCATAAGTATCTCATATTCATGACTTGGCATTTCCACTCGGAAAACACTAGTGCTCTATAAACAGACATACAAATGTACATTATAGTTATAGATTTACGCGAATTAGTGAAATTCTGAAGAGCACTATTAGCAATGTGTGGTTTTTACATTTTGATTAAGTTGAGGTAAAGCCAGTAAGACAAATCTCAATTCGGTGCCGAAAATGTGATGACAGAGATTCAAGATATAAATCTTAACGAAGTCTTTAGATCTCAACAGCAGACGTGAACTTGATAAGCAAACTATTTTTGGTTTAGATATATAGATCGACCATTTTCTTTATCTATATGAGTGATGGTTTTGAGCAGAGACAGAGCATAGTTCAATTCTTTTGAATGAATATTAATACATACCAAGTCCTCACATCTACGCCTCCACGACGTAGCGTTTCATTACGCACTGCATAATGAAAAACTGGCTTCTTTATATTATGCTTCTTCATATAGTACAACATGGACTTTACTGGAGCATGATCGTTCTAGTTGAAGTAAAGAAATAACAATTTATTAAAAACATATTCACGTTTTCACCAAAAAGTTTTCAACTAGATCAGCTCTGTTCGACATTCTTTTAACGCCACAGCACATATTTAGTATACGCACTGTAGGACGATCTATCTCACACAAAATACAAAACAAAAACATTACTATTTACCGCTTGAATATCTTTCCTCCGATCCGGTGAACTTATTCACATAATCTTCATCCATGCGCACACTGTATTGGACAAGAACACCTGTTTGCCAGCCGCCTTCAGCGTATTCACCGATTCACCTGTCTTGGGCGCGAAGAAGAAACCAACATAACACCATCACAATCACATCACCACATCGAAGGATTGACGAACTCCTTCTGCTCCTGCGCGGAGAGCTTTAAAATATGCGTACTTTGCGGGCAGACATAATCGTGCAACGATCCACTCACGGTCTCGAACAAATTCTCACTAAACTATTCTTTGCCAACTCAATTTATTTATAATATACTCGAAGGCATTTGCTTCATATGTATGTATATATTCTAATTTTGATTAGTTCTTTATGCTCATTAGGCGAGAGTTTAGTAATACTGCTCAACAAAAATATATATTTCTGACGCAGAAAAATTTTACTTTTAATCATTTTCGGCATGATTGCTACACTAGTTCCAAAGAAAATGGGTTGCTTTATTTAATTCAGTTGAAACATCGTTTAATTGTGGCCTAGATATGATTCCCTCATGTTTTCTTAGATTTTGTCAAAATATCTAATTAAAAACACAATTTGCTGATGTTCTTAAACGAAGTATACCATATATCTAAATATCGCTCTGCATAAAATGAATTGAGTCATTCATTGAAAATTGCAGGGGAATAGAAATATTTAATATAAATTTAAAAGCTAAAACAGCTGTTAGAATCTACTTCAGCTCACTCGTTTTTATCGTCTCAGCTGATTCGGTCTACAGTTTTCGTCGGTGACTGTTTGAAGCTTTATAGTGAATGCTGAATTAATTTCCAAAGTAGCAGACTCAACACTATTCAACAAAATAAATAATAATACTGTTAGAAGAAATTTCTTATTTAGATATTTTCTAAGAAACATAAAAATTATAATTATTGTAGTAGATATAATAAGAATTTAAAACTAAAGTAATGTTTTTCAGTAAAAGAATTTTTCTGAATCTATATACTCGCTAAAAATATAGTGATATCTATTTAGATGTGTTAGGCAATAATATTTTCCTCTCTTTAACTGTGTTCTATGCAACAAACCTTGGAGAGACAAGCAACTATCTCGCATAATCAAGAGATATAAAAGCAATGAGTTTTGAGTTATCCATATAATTTTACTGTTGCATCAGATGTGACTTTTGTTAGGAGCTTTCTACACTTGGTGATAAGTAGAAAGGAATGCTTTCCAAAGGCGCATAAATTGTTATAAAAAGCCGTCTGGTTCTGACAAGGAGTGTCTCACAACTCGGACTGTATTTTTATATACAGATGGCCTGGGATAAATTGATCAGACTTTATAAATTTTCGTCAGAAAAACAAATTATCAGAAAAAGACTATCTATGATATAAAATCAAAAACGTAGTCGTCATTAATAGATAATCGACTCGGTTTGCAAAAGACTCAGATCTTTATTGAGCCAAGCATTGACATGCTTCAAAACCAAGCATTAACCGAAATATTTATCGGTAAGTTTTCGGACGAATTTATATGAAAGTTCGGAAAATTTAGATCACATGGTATATTTTCACATTGCGTAAATATTATTTCAAATTTTTAACATAACTTTTCGAAACATCCCTGAAATACAAGTTAATATAATTTTTTAATCGCAATATTATCTAACATAATAATTATTGTAATACAAAAATTAAATTACTAAGCTTTTTATTTATAAAGCATATAATTCAATAAAATCGGCCATCTATCCCATAAAAATGAGGTTGGTCCTCCGCACTTGCTTGCCACATTTCATCTATGGGTGTGCTGCCGCTCAATACGAGCAAGGTTTGGAAGCCACAATTCAGACCGAAGCGTACATCGTGCGTCAGAGAATCGCCAACAAACAGACAACGCTTGGGATCGGTCAATTTATAGACGTCCTTCAAAATGTCACCAAGCAAAAGTGCCGGTTTGCCAACTATTGTCGGCTCTCGTCCTGTGAAGCGCTTAAGAGTGCCGAGGAAATCGCAAAATCCTAAAGACAAATATAAACTCGGTTAAGTAATGTGTCATTATAGGAATATACAAGTATATATATGTTCCTGTGTGTCAAACAAACCTGGCACCGTTAGATCTTTCGTCATAGGTAATAACCAATCTGTACCACCAGCAATAAATTGACAGTCTTTGTCTGCAAGATATCGTGTGGCCGCTGCCAATTGTGGATAAGTTAAATCCAATTTGATATCAAACAAAACGGCGCCCATTTTTTGTTCCGGTTCTGTGATTTTTCCCAAATTATTGGGTGTAATGTCTTCATTGGTGTCCTTAAATAATGAAAAAGAGATATATAATTATACAAATTAATAAAGTGATTTAAAAAGTCTCCGAATTTTTTCGATTGAGGTTAGGTCAGAATATGTGAAGGCAAGGTCTAATAAGTCTGATTGGTGACTGATTTATATGAGAATTTTTTATACAAAATATCTATACCTCTAATTATTTTTGTTATTATAATATTCACCCTTTACATGTCTTTAGTAAAATACTTTTTGTACTACATTTTTTTGGTAATGCCTTGTATCATAAAACTTTCCCTTAAACCGTTTCGAAGAATGCTCCAGCGGATAGGACCCTTATCTGTGTCCAACAACCTAACTCATGTGAATGGACCAAATGAGCTTCATGCACATGGCTGCTTTATTCTACACTTTTTTTTAAACTCTTTCAAGAATATATATTCGGAACGCCCTAAAGATATATGCTTGTAAGTAATGAGTTTCAGATGGAAATCGGGATTTCTAAGTACCTCAAAGTTTGGACTATGCTAAAATTATTTGTTCATACATATTCGCAATTTCATGAATCTTGATAAAAATTTGGTATTTTTCTGCTCTGAGATCACATCTATATGTACATATGTATATCACATTTTAATTGCTTAACGCAATTTTGTGAAATGCTGAAGAGAGCACTATTAACGGCACCACTCATGTTTACATTTTGATTAAGTTCACCCAAGCGGAGTAAAACAAATATCCATCAAGTGCAACATTGTGAGGTTAGAGAAAAGGAGATTAACTATCTAGAGATATAAATCCTAACGAAGTCTTTACCAACATCAGGCGACGAACCTGATAACCAAACTATTTGTATAAACTTGTGACATTAAAAACTGCAAAAAACGAAATTTTCATTCAGCTTTACTACAAGTATGTACGCTACTTGTTGTTACAACGTATTATAGTTTGGTCACTTAAAGGTTTTTTATAACACCTAAAACTTCCAACATCTTCTTTCACTTTGCAATATATATAAATCAAGCACGTAGAACAGCAAGACTTAGGAATAAACATTGCATAAATAGTGCCCTCAAGGCATGCCATCTCACGTCTAAAAATTATCGAAATCGGTCTTAACTTATCAAGCTCGCGGTGGCATCTTTTTCTCATAATAATGTGCGATTGCATCAAATAGAATGCTCAGTACATTTGATGTATAACTTTAACTGTGTATAATGTTTAAATTAATGTTTTTCTGGAAAAAATCAATAAGCCTTTTTTGTAGAGCGCAAACTTTTCTGTCGGAATATATTTTTTCAACGTTATAAGGTTTATTGCTTTGGAGATAAAATATTTAATGCCAAATATCAAAAAAGCCACTGTTAAACATATCGTAAAGATAACATGGTGGAAACACGGTTCAATTTGAAAATAAAGAACTTATTCCACAAAGAAAATTTTTTTGGACAAAATCTGAAACTTTAGGGGGCGTCAGCAAAACAAAAGTCAACTTGAGTAACAACGGACAACCTGATATACATACATACATTTTTGTGAATATTTATAATATTGTACATACCAAAGTTCTCACATCGACGCCTGCTCTACGCAGCATTTCCGTACCGGGGGCACTGCATAATGAGAAGATCGGCTGCTTTATATTATGCTTCTTTATATAGTACAACATGGATTTTACTGGATGCATAATGTCGTTCTAGTTCAAATAAGGAAATAAACAAATTATTAGCAAACATATGCACATGTCCACGAAAAAAGTTTTTAACACTGACTTTGTGTTCTTATTTTATTTAAGTTTTATTTTTTAACCCACGGCACATGTTTAAAATTCGCATTATAATACGATACGATGTCACACAAAGCCAACTAACAACCGAAAAAGAGTGTGGCTCACCTTTTGAAAATCCTTTACTCCGATCCCGACGAACTTATTCACATAATCGTCATCCGAGCGCATACTGTTATTGGTCACAAAGAGCACTTGCTTGCCAGCCGCCTTCAGTGCATTCACCGCTTCGCCCGTTCTGGGCAGCGGTGAAGCAATCATCCACATAACACCATCACAATCACACATTACTACATCGAAGGAGTTGAAGAACTCCTTCTGCTCCTTAGCCGAGAGCTTCAAAATATGCGGTATTTTACGAGCAGACATACTTAATTATGCAATGGTCCACCACTCACGCCTGTCTTAGATAAAGTATATCTAAAGATTTCTTCTCATAATGCATTTATATACGAATAAAATCATACATAGATTTCTACGGTGTATTTATACTTTCATATAAAATAAATATATTTTATTGACAAAGGCTTATTAGCGATAAACATGACTAATAAACACTGCTCAACAAAAAAATGGCTTTTTTTTGACACGATGGTAAACGAATTTAGTCGCATACGGGTATAATATGGCAAGCGATTATCTTATGAGTTGTCAACCGATAGATTTCTGTCAGTTTTCCGAAAAAAAAATTATTACAGATCAGAAACGCTAAGTGCGCTTTCTAATCAAGCTAGTAATACCCACTTGAAAGACAGCTGAATAAGATCTATTTAGGTTATTCACAATTGAGACAGTACATACTATAGATTAAAGTACAGTTATATAAAGAAAAACATTTCGTTGAGGGTATTGTGACAATTTAACTTTCAGGGAATGTATTTTTTTTTTCCTAAGTGCTATATCAAACAAACAACTTTACATTTTTTTTTCACAATATTTTTTATTATTTTTTGCTTTGATATCTACTCTCGGGATAGTGGTAATAAACACGGTCATTTAATGTTATTTACACAATCTATTAGCACAACGCTGATAATACTGTTTACAATGTTAGCAAGAGATGTATTAATTCTACCGGTAAAATTATCCCCTGACAGTCGTTGGTGACAAGCATTTCAGCCTTTGGTGTTTACTTGAAGCTTTTCCACACCACACGCTCAGCTGATAGCAAGAGATATATGCAATTTACGCTCAGCTGTTTCTTGAATCTAGATTCAAATGAGTAAATGAGTAGAAAGCTTAGTTGTAGCTTTCTGCCGGCAATAACACAATGAGAAACACTTCATTCAGCTGATGTTTACTCAGCATGTTATCGATTACCGTTGACACGCCTCACCTGTCGTTAGTTTGCCGACATGTCGGCAGCAGCGGTCGGGCGTTGGGGTGTACTGCGATCTCAGGCCGCATTTGATAAGGTATCTTAGAGATAAAAAAAAAATACTAACAACTTGGCGAACGTCTGATTAAGTTGGTTCGACATACAAATTCGAGGCAAAAAATTTAATCAAAACGACAATTTAAAATTCACTTTGCCAACAGAGCAGTAAGCGTACGGTATTTACACTCATTGAGTGCGTAACAACCGTTTATGAAAAGATCGCAGAGTAAAAACAGAAAACTTTCAAAATTTTATTGAAATAAAATTTGCAATTTGTGTAAAAGCAAAAAATTGGAAAAACAATGAACACTATACACGAAGTGCCAATCGGTGATCTCAATGGCAACGAAGACACGACTATTGCGAGTGTAGTGTCTACCACAAGTCTCTCTAATGCTAGCAGTATTTCCAGCACTAGCAACAGCACTAAAGTCACCATCAACTCCAGCAGTGACACGTCGGTGCCGCAGACAGCGAAATCACAGAACGACTCAACCACCACCACAACAACAACAGCGACAACAAACGGTGAGCCCAAAAGCGCTGCGAATAAGAACAGAGAAAAAGAAGCTGATATTCCCGTAGCCAGTACTAGCCAAAAGGATGCAACAACTACCACAACAACAACAGCGATCGTCAATGGCAATACGAAGAGTTTACTCAGCGATCACAGTGAGGATCTGAAAATAATCGGGCATTTGAAGAATATCGAGAAGATCAATGAGAAGCGACGACTCTTTCTCAACAACACGATTAGCGAGTACACGATCGATGAGAAAACCGAAACGGAAACCAAGACACAAACGATTAATGGCGCCGAAACGGTACTTAGCGAGACGCGTATACACTCACGCGAAGAGCAACAAAATGTTGGTGGCAACAAATTGGGTAGCAACAGTGCAACCGAGCTCAACGGTCATACAAAGGCGACAGCAGCAAACTTTTCAGCTACGAAATATGCAACACTACCGCGTTCGCCCGGTTCGCCGCCACCCAAACCGCCTATGTTGAGTCGTGCACGTAGCATTGGTATTGGTGATCAGCGCTCGTATTCCGCCACATCGGTGCCGACCACGCCAACCAAAGCAGCAGCAACAACAACAGCAGCAGCAGCAACGCTTGCACCGATTGCTATACCCACACCAACAACAATTTCAACACCCACATCACCTTCAACAGCCGCGGCTGCCTGGAGCCCCCACAACTCGCCAACAACAAAAGCCACAACTTTGATTACGAGCACTGTATTGCCGGAACCGATCAAAGTGGCCACCGTACAGCTGCGTGAAGAACCGGTGCCGACGTTGCGTCGCGTAGTAGAGCGACCGGTCTCACTATCACCGGAGGCACCCAAACAGATTTCAATAAATCACTATGAACGTCTGATTGAGGAACTTAAGTGCCCTGGGTGTGCCTATCCGATGAAGTCACCGATTTTATTATGCAAGACGGGTCACAGTATCTGTCAGCAGTGCACTCGCGTGCTCTTACTCTGTCCGCTGTGTAAGGTAAGTGGTTAAATATTTGCGCTTTTAGTTTCCTAGTTTCTCACCGGAAATATTAAAACTTATTACAACACTAACAACGGATAATTTAATTATATAAGTTTATAGAGAGCCGGCTGTAACTTTCTCCTAATAGTTTTGTGGCAGAACGCTGAGTTGACATTCATTATAGCGATATAAATTCGTGTCAATTCCTATAAGGTGGACACGAATTGTGACGCTCAAGTTTTTATAGTGTAATCTAAATTTATGCGGATTTAATGCTTCAAAATTTAATTAATATTCCTCTTTTGAAAATTTTGATTGTGAAAATTATTTTCTTGCACATTTTAGACAGCATAATTCGTAAATTTGAACTGTGTTCCTACACGTTCCATTTCCCACGTTTCCATTTGCTTTCGCCACAAAAAATCGCTTTTCCTAACAAGCATATTGCCGCACTTTTTGTTTGCTTTGTCAGCATTAAAGGTGTCAATATGTATTTTATATACTTAAAATGTCGGTAAATATAATTATTTAATTATTTGATTTAGCTTGACGTCAATAGTTTTTTTGCCGATGAGCTGATATAATTTTGTTTTTATTTTTCCATTATATAATATATATATATATATGTATTCTTTAAATCAGTGACAAAATATAATTTATGTTAAAGAAGAAAGAACTTTAACTGCGGCTGCACCGAAGCCGTAATACCCTTCACGGGTGCTTTTCTTGAAGCATAAAATGGTACAAACAGATCTCTAACTTGATTTTGAACGATCTGTTTTTATGGCAACTATATGTACAGTGATCTGAACAATTTATACGGAGATCTTAGCGTTACCTTGGACAATAATCTATGTCATATTTCGTGAAGATATCCTGTTAAATAAACAAGTTTATATGGCAGCTACATCTTATCGGTGGTTCCAACAAATGAGCAGCTTCTTGGGGGAAAAAGACATGTGCAAAATTTCAGATCGATATCTTAAAAACTGAGGGACTAGTTCGCGTATATAGAGACATACAGATGGACATGGCTAAATCGACTCAGCTCGTCATGCTGATCATTTTTGTATACATACCTATATAGGTTATGTATATATTATAGGGTCTTCGACTTCTCCTTCTGGACGTTACAAACTTCATGGCAAACTTAATATACCAAACAAAACAAACTTTTATATAGAGTTTTTGGTTTTGCTTTAAAAAATTTATATTTTTCCAATTCCAATGTTTTTTTATGCCGAAGTAATTATTGTTGCTATTGAGATTATATAATATATTGATTCTGAATACAATTTCCTTAGATATGAGTGCAATATGTTATATGAACCTGACTGTCTACAAAGCGATCCTTATTGATGATAAGATATTCTAAATTTAATATTAATTTGAAAAATCCTTTATTATTTATGTCAGAAACCCCCGCTAGATGGTTCCCACAGTGTTTACAAATATTTAATGCATTTATTACGTCACATTAGCGAAGTTAAAATTTCAAAAGAGCGTTTTCCGAGTTTTAAAAAAAAAAATAAGAATATACTTAGAATGTGGTTTCTCTTTATATGTGCCTAATTTAATAATAAACTTGAAACTTGTTGTTTTTTGATCAAAATAGTTGGGAACAGAAATGTTCTTGAAAAATATACGGAAGTCCACGTATACAAAATTAAACTCTCTAGTATATATACGAGTTTAGTAAATACATATATATAAAAATGCTTGTCAATACTGCTCTTCTTTTGCATGACAATCTATTATCTCAACGGCACATAGAGAACGAAATATAGACTCTTCCGCACAATTAGCCGACAAAATTTACACATTATCGCGCCACATAAGTTTAGTTTGCGGCTTTTTTTACTGCAATCTTATCTTGGCACACTTTAATGCAGCAAAGAGTCGCGTAAAAAATTGAAGTTTTTTTATCGTTTTCAATTCATTTCTCCGTTTAGATTTTATTTTGAGTTATCTAAAATTTGAAAGGAAATCGATGATAAAGGCAAGGTCGAAAGAATTACTGTACACCTACCATATAATATATCCATACACTAACTGATAGCACAACTTCAAAACACTTATCGCTGACGTAAAGAGACACTTGAAATTTTAGTTGTATCTGCATTTGTCTACAAAACTTGTAACTCACTTATACCGTCTACCTCTCCTCACAGGAACCCTTCACCAATATACGCTCGCTCACCGTCGAAGCGCTCTGCTCCAAGGCGCATTTCCGTTGCTCGAATGCCTCGGGCGGCTGTACAGTGCGCCTGCAAATCGATCTACTAAGCTGGCATGAGAAGCAATGCATCTACAAGCCGATGAAATGCTTTATGGGTCGTGTGTGGGGCGATTGCGAATGGGCGGGTCGCGAAGCGCACTGGAAGGATCATCTGGAGAAGGAGCATGCCGATAAAGTGTTCACCACAGAAACGACCGATATGATTTGGAATATGGGCGTGAAGCAGAAACCGCTTACCGGTTACTATGTCTTCATTGTGTTCGATGAGATGTTCAATTTTTATGAAGTGCATGATAAGGAGCGTATACTCTTCACCATGGCCTGCACATCAACCGTGAAGGAGAAGAAGCACAATTACGCCTTCGAGGTGACAATTGTGCATCAGGAGAATGAAGCCATTGCCATAACGCAGAAATATCCGGTGCATAGTGAGTATGATAAGGACATATTGGCGGAGGGCACTTGCATTAGCATGACGCTAACGGATCTCGCTAAATTCATCGATGAGGATCGGGTAAGCAACTTGAAAATATATTTGTGTTTATTTTTAAAATTTTTTTTTTTTTTGAGTCTATATTGATTTTAAAAATGTGCTTCCTTTTAGTTACTGCATTACCGCGTGCGCATTGTGGAGATAAAGACGCCGCGTAAAGTGCGGAATTCGTTGCGCAACAGTCCACACACCGGTATACATCCGACCGATTTCCAGCAGACACAAATCGAAGGTGTTAATCTGAAGGGTGTGCCAGCAGAGGTGATTCTTACGCGTAAATTGGATGACATACCGTTTGTGGATAACGGTACTGCCGACACACCGCATAGCGTTGGCGCACAATCGGCTGCAGGCGTGAGTGAAACAGCAGGTGAGCGGGTAAAAGTTAAAAGCATTTACAAAGGAACATTTTCCAGTAATGAAAGCGGCTCCGAAAGCGATCCGGAATTCGAAGCATTTATAGCAAAGAAATGGGGCACACCACAATTACATTTTAATAGAAAATTTTTGAAAAACAATTCCAATGAGAGCAACACCACCGATGAGGCGGGCAGTTTGCATAGACTTGATCGGAGATTCGTACCGGATGATAAAATTTCAGTAACCAGTACTAGTACGAGCTACAAGAAGCGTGTGACCAACTCGCTGCGTAAAAGTTTCCGTGGTTTTAAGACACCACAAATATTTAACAAGAAGACGGCTACCGATGTTAAAGACAGCAAGTAGTGTACAGTAGCAGTGATAGCAAATGTGTGGACACTCAAAATTAGATTTCTTTCAGAATTTTTACATGTCTGCGTAGATGTGTTACAAAACTCAAGGATTTGTATTGATGCCAATAATGGATTTTGGTTTTTGTGGTTGTTTCTTAAACACTAATGCATGAGTAAAATAAGAAATTACAGCAAAAATCAGTATCCACACATCTTATGAGTACGTACAATATTAGTTCCAAATTTAATAATACCATACATATTTATGTATATATGTATCTATGTGTGTATTTAATACAATAAATAATTAAAATAACAGAGTTTATGTATTATTTTGGCTAAGTTAGTTTTTAATGAGACTTCTACGCGTTCAGGCTATTATAAAGATAAAATTATATTTAATTTTTTAATAGAGTTAGAATTCATTTGACTTGTCATAATTGCCTGTTGAATACCGACCATGTGTGGATTTCTACGAATGCTATTTTTATTTCAAAACAAGCGAGGAAATGGTCGTCTTCGTCCGCTTCTTTTTCTGTCATCAACTGTAGCTGTTTGGAAAACACAATAAAAAATGTAAACAAACACTCTCGAATATAAAATTTTTTTGAGAAGCTCATAAATTTCACTTGCGCTTTTCCCACACTTATGTAAACAATTACCGCAGTACGATTTTCTTTAGTTCCCCTCTCCATTGAAAATAAGTGAAACCAAACACTGCACTGATTGTTATATATAAGTAGACGCTGTATATAAATTATAAAAAAAAATAACAAGTCTGTTTTTTGCGGATTTGTCCTCGCTATATGCATTGTAAACTTTGTAACAGAATTTATGGCAAGACTAGATACACTTGATCGCTAATTATATGCATAGAATTATATATATACATATATATGCATAAGAAATTTGATATGACTTATATTGTTGAATGTTTAATCTACTTATATGTTCCAACAAATCGTTTTGAATTTCTGCTCAGGTAGCAGCTTTATCCTGGATATATATTATTGTTTTTCCGGTTATCTGGAGACAGCTGTTTTGAAAATTATTGTAAATACTATTATTCATGCTGTGTTCCACTACTATACCATTTTGTTCCGCTTCAACAGCTGATAGTTTGCACGGTAATTGTTAAATTTGTATTTCCAAACAAAACGGCTTCGATAAATTTAAGGTATATAATTTATATTTTTAAGACAAATTAAATATTTTAACAGTTTCCAAATCGTCATTCATATTTTTCGTACATGCCTTAGCAATGGGCGTTACTGTATTGCTGCCATATCAGATACCAGAAGGCAAAACTGGCGCTCAGGCTATTGACTACCTCACCAAGCGGCTTTTGGCATTGGGCGCAATACACACCGGTCAATTCCTGGTCGATTGCGAAACATACATTTCCACACCACAACATGGTCCTGCCAAAACTGTACATGTACTACACGATTCCGAATATCCCGCATCCACATTTTCCATATTAGACAACGGTGCTGGCAAACAAATACCATTAGTGGCAGACAACCTATTCGATTTACTCATGCTGAAAATGACTTCAGTCTACACATCTAAAAAGCAAACAAAGATTGAATCAAAAGGTGCGCGTTTTGAATACGGTGATTTTCTTATCAAGTTAGGTTCAGTCACAATGATGGAAAACTTTAAGGGCATACTTATTGAGATTGAATACCGACCATGTGTGGTGCTTTCATATTGTTGGGAAATGATACGCGAAACATTGCAAGGTTTTCTCGGTATGCAAATCGCCAAGGAGTATCCAGCATATTTTTCACAACAAATAATGAATACGATGGGCCAACAGCAGATACATCCCAAACAAAACGAAGTGTACGAGCCGATTGATACGATTAATCAGTATTTGGAAAGTTTCACAAATTATCGCAAACAAAATGTGTTGCCTGTGGCAGGCGGTGCATCGGGTGGCGCGGCATCAGCGCAAAATGCAGCGGCCAATATGCAGGGTGGCAATCAACGCATGCGGCTTTAGTGCTAATAGTCGGCTTTGGGTTTGTGTTAATTTTAAGTAATGTATTTAAATTAATTAAGTTAAGCAATGATGTAATGTTATATCAGAAAATAAAACAACAAGGTTTAAACTTTTTATAAATAAAATGTTGTTTATTTTCCACAAAATGCATGATGCCTGCCTTGATTTTTGTTCGTCTCATTTGCTGCGATGCAAATAATGATACAATAATTGTTTTGCCGATACTTTAGATACGATTGTGCTGTTTACATACACCCAAGTCTTCGTAAATTCCGAAAACACATTAAAAATAAAACGCTTTCATATATAATTCTTCAATATTTGCAATATGTAGTACGAACTTTATTTTTATTTTTACTTGGTAAGTAATTTTGTATGAAATACATGTATGTATGTAGTATGCTTATATGCAACAGACATATGCATATTATTATACCATAGTTTATATATGTATATATAATTAAAGATACATGCTTGTACATATGCATTTAGGTATATGCAAATGTATAGTAATAACGTTTAATTAAAAAATATAATTATTAGTAAGTAAATATTATAGTATGCGATTTATCAATAGTTTGCAATAAAAAGGCTACGCGTAGCGCAGCGCCACAATTTGCTTTAATTTTTAATTTTTTTTGTTTTAGTTTACAATTGCAATAAACATTAGAAAAATTTAAGTAGATTATTTATCGTAGATAATTAAACGAAAATAAGTAGCCAATTTTTCTAGCCAAATTTTAATTTATTTAAAGTATGCATAAATTTCCTTATCACAATATAATCTAAAAAAAAAAGAAGAAAACAAAGTTCCAAAACTGAAAAGTAGTAAATAGTAATTACAATCCACATTGTTGTTGCGATAATTCACGCTTGCGCCAAACTTTTTGTTCACAAAATTTTGCATTTCTTCTGAGATATATGTATGAATTATGTATAATAGTGTTGATTTTTTTAATGTCATGTGATTTTCGTTATTTCGAAAGGCTATGTTACATACACTGAGAGAAAAGAATGCACATTTAATATTTTTTTCTCTACAGCAGTGTTTTTTTTTGTTGAATTGGTTGTATATCTTCAGCATAAACTGTCTAAATTAAAATTGTTTCATTTATGGAGTTTCGCTTTTATACACATACATATGTATGTAAGAATATTACGCATTTTTTGCAAAACTTCTGCACACATAATTGAAATTTCAATTGCTAAATTGCGCGCAGATTTAGTTTTCGCATTTTTAAATTTATATTATGTATAAAAATGTTTTCTTAGTGAGCATAACAAAGAGCTTAAATGAAAACTTAAGTGAAATTATATTTTTTTTAGGTTTGAAAAAGGTTTGTGACTTTTGCAATTAAAAAAAACTATTATAAGACATTTAAAATGTTTGTTGAAAAACATAAATTTGTGAAACGAAACATAATTTAAAAGTAATAAAAAATAAATTTAAAAAAATTATTAAACATAAAAAAATAATTATTTATATTATTTCACTCTAAAATTACACTTTTCAAACTAATTTAACAGCCTAAAAGTAGGCAGCAGTCAAAATATAACACTCTTTGTTATGCTCACGAAATACGCACGCATGCTAAAAATTTGTTTTGCTGCTTTATCGCCGTTCTTTAAATTTTATAAGTAATTTAGCTCTTTTTTTTTATTAAAACTACAATTTGTGAGAAAACCTCTTTACACCACTGTTGCAAGTACAATACATATTTTATATTAAAATTGAGTAGCGAAATAATGCAAATTCTTTGCACGTGCTTTTAATTGTAATTTTTTTTTCGAATAACCAATTCTTTACTATAATAATTGTAAATTTGTAATTTTTTGTTACGCAATAAAATAGTATTGCCACGCTACCAAACAAAATACATATTTGTAGCTTTAAATATAGCTGAGCTAACTCTGTTGCCTAACGCTCTCGCGCTATTTGCTCTTTGTGACTTTGTGCGCATGCATTTTACACTTCGGCTAAAATGTAGAATTCTTGACTTTCTGTTTTAGAAACCGCTGCTTTTGTTTCAATTTTTGGTGATAATTTTATTTATTTTTTTTGCTTTTATATATGCAATTCAAAATTGTTCGCCGCAATTAAATTTATGCATTTTCTTAATTTTTTGGCGTGCCAATCCAATTAATTAATTTGATTTTTTTTATTTGTCATTAAAAAAAAATTTTTTTGTGACTTGCTTAGTATTGCGCGTGTTTGCAAAATGCTAATCATCAAGTGATTTGTGTCACACATACATAGATATGTATGTACATACATAGACGAGGAGAAAAATCTAAAACAAAAAATACTACATTTTTATTTCGCGATACTCATTTCTTTTACGCGTTTTTTTATTATTGCGCAAATTACAAAATTTCAATTTTTTTTTTCATCAAATTTCTACTCATAATATTTGCAGTGTTTTCGTTCGTTTCTCTTTTTTTTTTCTCTACAAAAATTTTATATTAAAAAAAGTACAGCAATTATTTACTCAAACTTCAGCAAACGCACATACAATAAATTTGCGAGAATTCAAATCATAGCATGAAAACTTAAAATTACATACGGTGTCTCAGGTAAAAAAAAAGCAGTTCACAAACATGCCTTAAATTAGTTACAGAAGAGTGATTGATTGACTCATGCCGGTCTGATGGATGTCTGTGAGTGTGTCTATGGGTCTATGCAGAGGAAGTGTTTCGCTCGCGGTCGCAGCGTTTTTATCACGATCTCTTGTGTGTGCTATTTCCATTCGCCTGTGTCTTATTCCAACAACTACAACAAACATACTAGGTGGTTACATATAATTTTTGTACATCTCCCACAACATTCGTTGGAGAACAAAACTGGAAGGCGTCAAATATATTCAAATTGTTGTTGCTTTTTAGTTTGTCGAATTTGCAATTCCGTGTGTTGCTGCTCTCACTCTTCTACCTCGTCGTTGTTGCTTATAAACTTGTTGTTGTTGGTTTTTATGTAAACAATTTTGAGTTGTAGAAAATAGTTGTTCAAATGTAATGATAAAAAAGTTGACACTTCTGGCTTTTTCTGCATTTCGTCTCATTTTTAACGGTCGGTGTCATTTGTTTTTGTTATTTTGTTGTTGTTTTTTTTTTAGAGCTGTTGATAATAGTACTTTTTTCATTTTTCATTTTACTTTTTGTTGCTGTTGATAATGTTGTTGTGGTTTTTTATTTGTCAGTTGTTTTTGTAGAAAGAATGCAGTTATTTTGTGGTTAAAAAGTGCTTGTTGTTGTTGATTTGTTGTGGTTTGTTTTTGTGTTTAAATTGTAATTAATTTGCTTGTTTTCTGTTTAGTCACGAATTGGAATAGTTTGTGGCTTAATATGGCCACCGTCTCCTTCGGAGACAAAACGTTTACGTCCTCTGCAAAGAAGAAGAAGATGAAGTAAAATTAATTATGAGCTATTGTTTTGTAGATTATATAACTATATTTAATAGTAATTGTTGTTGTGTAGCAACTTTTATTAAATATTAAGCTTACAATTACAAATTAAATTAGGTAATATTATTATAAATATTTTTAACCTCGAGAAAAGTGTATGTAGTATACAGACAAACCCAAATCAAAATCAAGTTCATGTATAGAAACTTTTTATTGGTGCAACCTTGAAATACACGTTTTTTTCTTGTTTTTCAATAATTTTTAAGTTATAAATTAATATTTAGTATATCAAGTGGAGAGAATAGGATATAAAATCTAGGCTGACATTAGAAAACAACTGATTCGCAACTTTGCACCATAAACTTAGATAGGTAGAGTGATTGTATTTCGACACACCTAGGCATTTAAAAGGCCTGGTGGCCCCTCACTTTATTGGCTCCTCTCTGAACCACCCCGTACTTCTGATGAACTTCATCAGTAAGACAAGTTTTATCCGTGCAACCATCGAGACGTCGTCAAGAAACCCTCGACCGATGGCTGTGATTCTTTTCCTATATAGAGCCGTTTTTTTCTCCCCTACCTCCTGGCAGCTTCTACAATAGTCGTTTTATGGCGTTCCAAGTCTACTTGCGTGTCTGCCTTTTAAACAGTGCCCTGTTAGAACTCCTACTAGAGTTCTTATATCATTCCGTTAGAATTTTAAGTCGGCATCTGCGACTCACATTTTTTCATGCCACGTTTGCCTGCTTGTTGTGAAAGTCAGCGACTGATTTCACTGAGATTCAGCTATGCTTATGACATGTTTGTATATTAAATATCTACAAGTAGCCAGAGATATATGTATATGTACCCTCTTTACCGGAATCTAGTTGTAGTGATCCGCTAGAAGCACCATAAACTTAAGAAACTTTAAATTTTTTCACATTTCAAAATTTGTTTCCAATCTGAATTAAATTTTTTATTGAAGAAAAATTAAGAAGTGAAAGCAAATTAAATATGGCTTGAACTAATTTTTTAAAGTGATATTTGTAAAAATTTATTTATAATGTTAAATATTTGTACATTATAGTTTAAATATTTTTATTAATTTTAAAGTAACATAACCCTAAATATTGGCATACACACATATTTCTATGCTAGCCAAACCCCGATTCGTTTAATGCCAAGGTGTGTAATGAAAACAAAAGTGAAAGTAAGAGTTAAATTTTCATTGATTTTATGGCCGCATTCACCGCATGCGCGCGTATTTTGCACTATAAAAGCCTAAAAGCGACCTCCACCGCCACTACTGCCCATCAATAGAGAACTCCTAATGGACATGCCGACACATCCACCACACACAAGCAACTCGTGGCTCTCACAGCTGTCGTTGGTGTTGCTCGCTGCTCCAAATCTTGTAGGGTTGCATGAATGAAAACTGCGCCTGGGTGTTTGTTTTGATTATTGCAGTGGTTGAAACGTGCAATGTGTGGGTTGGTGCAGCTTGCAACACACACAATACGTGCCGGAGCAATAGGTACCGGTTTCTCAGGACCTAGCTGAAAGCTTTCGATGCGTTGACGTATTTACATCCCACATATAGATATGTAGGTAGTATTTACGGAGAGTTCTGAGTTTTAGCGAAGCTTTTTAGAGCTCTGCGACGGCATTGAGAAGTTCATTGTGTGCGGCAACATTGGGTCAATGAAGTTTTTTGACCGTTTCTTGGGTGATGTAGGAACTTGTGTCTGTATGTTTGTGAGAATGCAGTCTGAATATTTATTAGTCGAATGTAGCATTCGATAGAAAAATCCAAGGCAGTACATTACGTAATGCGCTAATAAAAGTAGCACTCTCCTGTAATGCAAAATGGAAACTGTCTGAAAAGTATAGAAATCAAAACGGTTAGCTGTGAGCTTCAAACAGTTTTTCGGATAATAAATTACATTACGCCTAAATGTAGGCAATAGCGCACGAGAGCGAGAGGGGAAAGAACGTTGACAATTTTCCGCGGGCTGGGAGTTCTCTGCGTCCTAAAGCTTTGCAACAATTTTGTGCAAATTTTTTTGTTGAACAATTCACTATAGTCATCACTGGGCCCCTGTTTTCTCTCTGCGGCCCTGGCAGGCAATGTTGACGCTATTTTTGACGTTTAAAGGCCAAAAAACAAAGCTAAACCTTATATTGTCGCACTAAAATTCAATCGCTTTCGGTCGCAAACTACTAAGGACGCTTCTACCACACCAAAAATGTGCTGTTTTTTTTTTAGAAAATGTAGAAGCACCTAAACCACTACTCATATTATATACACATACATATGTACATCTGCGTGAGTTTGCAAACATAAATTTAAAAAAAAATGGCGCTCTATCAACCAATACATATATAATACATACTCGTACATGGCTGATGGCCACCTAGACGGGCATGATTGCGTGTGCAACAGCCACGGAGACCACGTCACTCGATCTCATCATATTTTGCAGCACATTTTACATCTCGAACACTTCTAAAGCCGCAGCTAGCAGCTAGTCGACTGTTCGTCGTGAGTTCATTCACCCGCTGACCTTTTTTTTGCATTCCCTCATTTTCTCACTCACACCGCTGAGGCAGCAGTGACAGCAAAATGAACGCATGTTGGGCGGCAAAACAACTGTAGAAAGAAGAGCGCAAAAACAGCTGCTGTACACCCGGCCAAAGCAGGCCGTGTCTATTTATCAGCGACTGCAAGCAAGTACGATCTCATGTCGTTTTCTGCCGCCTGCGCTTTTTGTGCCATTCTTTCATTTCGTTGCAACTCTAATATATTTTCGTATTGACTCTTTTTCACTTTTGGATTTTGCTTCTGTCGGCTGAAACAAGTTTTCGTGTCGTTTATTGTTGGTGTCGCTGCACGATAATTGCGCCCCATCGACGATTACAAGATCGCCTGATCGCTTTTTTGGTACCTTCGGGCGAACTTTTCGGCTTCTTGTTGCTGTGAAACCGCTTTGTCGCCGAATTTGTGCTGTACAATGACTAACCGGTAACGTAGTAGCAAGAGGAAAAGCATAGCGCAGCGACCCAAATCGATTGCAAGTTTTACCCTCCTATTTGCTGCACCAGTAAACACCGAAATATGCAGCAACGTAACTTATCACAGCACTGATTTATTGGAAACGCCAAAAGTTACGCCACAAAAGGTCTTCGAAAATTGGGAAAAATATATAAACGGGCACTTAAAAGCTTCGCTATGTATTTGCGGGGTTAAAGGAGACACACCCGTTGTTTTCGTGAGTCTCTCTTTTGTGGTAGCGATCAATGTAATCAATATTTTTGTAATTTTTTCAAAAAAGTAGGATACCAAAAAGCAAAGTTCACTGAAGCTTATTGGTTTACAAGAACAATGAAGCAGTTTTGCGTTTCTATAACACATATGGCCGAGGCTTATAACAAGTGTATGGACAATTTAATTCGATGTTGGTGCTTGAATTGGCTCAGGAGCTTATATATTTTGAAGGCGATAATATAGATTTGTATTAAAATGCGTTAAAATGTCAAATTTTGTCAGTCTGGGTCAAAAGTGATCAGATGTTATATATGCTAGCGTTAAACACTCGCTAAACATAAGAGATTGACTCGACAACGATAAAAGGCCAAATTGTAAACGAGAGAAATCTTATACCCAGATCAAAATTATTGTTGACTTGGTAAAAAATTATTGGTTGAATCGAGAATAAAGAGGAATGTAATAATACCAATATCTGTGGTTTTTTAAACAAGAAATTTGTTTTACTCCATCTTTACAATCTCCAAAATAATGTTTGATTAAAAATGAATTTCTGGACATTACAACAAATTTTAAGAACAAATGTTTAGGTATATTTCGAGCTTTCTGACAATTTGCATCTTGTGACGTATTTAATAATATATTGAACTCGTATGCTCTTCTACGCTCTGTATTCTCTTCTTCTTGTGTCAAAAAATCAAAATATTTTTCGTGTGCTCGCATTTTTAAATGTTTCAATAAATCTTTTGTTATTATTATTCTTTATACTTGCTTGTGTAGGCGTATTCAGCGAACGAGATTTCATTGTCATTATTTATAAATTTCCCCTCACACCTACCGTTTTCGTTTACGATCTGCTTACTGCAAGAACGTACATACGTGACACATTTTTGATAAAATTTATTTATAAACAAAAAAAAAAGCAAAACAATTTTATTGCGGCAGATAAAAATATCATAAAATGAGGTTATCACTCTGTATAACAATAACAGCAGGGAGGGGCGAACAAGGCGTATACTATTAAAAAACTTTATAAAATCTGTTAAGGAATAAGTAATTGATTTTGAAACTCCGATATTCGTTGATACAATCTTAGTCACTGGATAAAATGAAAAAAATATAAATAAATAATAAAAAAAAACTAACAAAAAAAAATTAATAAATTAAAACTATAAAAATAAAAAATTAATATTAAATATATAAAAAAAATATAAAAATAAAAAAAAGAGTAAAAAAAAAATTAAGAATAAAAAAAAAAATTAAGAATTAAAATAAAATTAAGAATTAAAAAAAAATTAAGAATTAAAAAAAAAATTAAGAATAAAAAAATAGTTAAGAATTAAAAAAAAAATTAAAATTAAAAATTAAAAAAAAAATTAAATTAAAAAAAAAATTTATAAAAATTACAACTTTTTTTAAAATAAAAATTCGTCTGGTCCTAACCGGAATTCGTTTTATCCGGTGCTATGCATTAGAACATGGTATATGTACATATACACATACATACATATGTATGTATATTAGCTTTGCCACGAAGTTTGTAATATGCAGATATTTCCCGTAGGTTTTATTCCACCTATTGAAAATATTAAACATGTACCCCTCTATTTTTTCCAAGCGATTTAACAATTGTTCACATGGAACGAATCTAATAAATTAAATTTGAATATTCTATCCCAAATAATCAAAAAAAAAAATTTAAATATGAACGGTTAACGGTGTATGTGAGGTCACGGGAACCCTTTTTTACCTAAAGCTCCATTCACTACTAAACTTGCAAACAAACACTCGAGATGCCTGTAAAGCAGTAAGCGACCTTTGTGAATTGTCATGTGATCAATTTTCAAACCACCGCCGCGAAAATATCCAAATTTGAAAGGGTCTCATATACTATTACATACATGCTAAATGCAAGTACGATATAACTAACACAACCCGCGCAACTTTACAAAATATCTGCCCTTCGTTAATTTAATTTGTATTAACAAACAGCGCTAGCTAACAGATTATACAAACATATGCAGGAGTATTTTTATTATTTTCCGATTTTTCACATGTAGTCGTAAACACACCTGCCACGATCGCCAATATAAAAAATAAGTTCGAAATGTCAACAATATTACAACATTTCACTCGGCAATGCGAACAACATTAAGTAATTTTATAATCAAAAGCAAATAAAAAATGTATAAATAAATGCAATATTAATAGCAAACATGCGTTGAAAATGACGATAAACGATAAACGCATAATAAATAAACAGAGTTGCAAGTTGCAACTGAAGTGCCAAAGAGCAATAGCCTGAATCAAGGCGAATTGCATTGGGCAATGCAAGCAAAGCAACAAAGACACTTAACGCACACAAAACTACACATATAATAATATATATATATATATATATATGTATGTATATATTTCTATCGAGCATATGGCAAAAGTAGCGTAAAAGCAACGGAAAATGCACTCTCTTCTATAGCTCCAAACAGCGGTGAAGAGCTTTCAGCTGAAACTTTACATGTGCGCGTGTGGAGGCAATAATTAAATGAGACTGTGTCGACGACAACTGTACAATTGTAAAAAAAGTGGGAGTGGCACACCAACAACCACACAGATTATGGCATCTAGCAGCCGCACCTCCACTGTCCACTCGACAGCTGCCAACTACAGTCACATTAAAAGCTTTGCTGCGCGTTCTCCAGCAACTTGCACACTGCTGCCGCTCACACACTTGCACTTTTCTCGAATCGAAATAAAAATACAGTAAATTGTGCATATGAGCATTGTGCGCGGTGGGAGGTAGTGAAGGTTTGCATTTAAAGTGCGCTGGGCTACATGCCGGCGGTCTGTTGTTTGCTGCCAAGCGCTAGTCGCTGGAGGGTGTTGCATTCGTACGAATCATACGAAAAGCTTGCTTAGCGATCTTGAACCACATGTAGGTTGTTGCACCTCATAAAAAGCTTTACGCACACACGAAACAAAATGCTACTGCATGATTTTGAATTTATGTGTGTTTTTATTGCTTGTCACATGGGCAACGTGGCAATGTTTGCAAGTTAGTGCTTTGAATTTGGAATTGAAATTTCGTATTTGTAAAATTATTTGTTAAATAAAAATAACGAAAATAATTTAAAAACTAATATTTGTTTGATATTACTGTTTTTTAAAGGTTAGTAGGAAAAAATTCTAATAAACATAACTTACAAATTTTGTTTCTGACTCTTCCGATTTACACAGTGTTGTTATTAAATGTAGTATATCTTAAAATGTTCGCTATTCAAATATTAAAATTGGAAAAAAAAACAATAATAATTTTCAAAAATAGGTTTCTACAATGCTTTTATTTGAGTACTGTGCCAAAACTGCACAAAATTATTTACTCTATTTATATTGTACAAACAGTAAAACTTGCGAGAGGTCAATGGATTCAAACATTAGCATATAAATTGTAATAAATCAGACAACAATAAAACTTCTAGAATGATAAAAAAATAAAGTTATTGAAATTAATGGGAATATTTACATATATACCACTCACAGTCATATGAAAAAAAAAACTAAAAAGGTTTCGATTACTTTATAGAAAGATTAACGTGGAAGATAAGTAAAATTAGACTCAGAGCATGATTGCAGATTGTGTTTTTTTTTGTTTGTCGAAGGTGTGGGGTATTTTTGGAAGTTTCTACGACCAGTATTTTCTCATGAAAAATTTTTCTTTTCTAGTTAATGATCTGCGAAGCCCTCTTCAGAGCTCTGCTATATTGCCAAAATATTGGCATGTTATATTTTTATAGTCTAGTAAAAATGAAAATGAAAAAATTAAACCCATTACTTTTTCCAATAGTTGGCATTAATAATCTGTATTTAAATAGCGATTATGAAATGATCTTCAAAATGCCAACAAATTATTGAACAAAACGGTGAATATTTGATATAAATCGGATAATTACTATGTTAAATAAAACCTCCAATTCAATGTAAAATTAATGAATTTATTTTTACTAGAACATTTATTATTTTTATTTGATGACACAAGCTATTTGGGCAGTGTTGTATGTCGCGACAAGAAGAAGCTTTCATTTCTGTAATAACTAACAAGAACAGTTTTCTTTTAATAACGATGGAGGTCTCAGGTCAAACTTTGGAGCTAATTTTTGACATCGAAAACTGGAAAACCTTCCCATGAAATCCATCGAAGAATCGAGTTAGACTTGTAAGTGAATTTCTTGTAATAACATAAAGACCTGTAAGTGCCCCATAAAACTCTTAAGTGAAACGAAAGTGAAAAAAAATATTTATTATTGAATAGATTTTAATTACCTTTATTTTTTATTGTCTTAATCTAATAAAAAAGGAAATTTTAAAGCAAGAGACAGCGGGCGACTGATTTAATACTGGTTATAAAAAAAGGGATTAAATTTGCTATGGATGATTGATTATTGCCAATATATAAACAATTTTATACAATGTATGTAAATACATATATTTCAAATAGGTATACATACATACATACACGCACGTAAGAGATTGAATAAAGACCATATATTAGAGTCACACCAGGCAACTTTGACAATTGAGTGATAAACCGGCAAAACTGCGGGTAAACACAAGCCATAAACAAGAATTCTGCAGACACCTACCATATACATACATATAGGCGCATCGACTTGTTTGTTTTCAAAATTAAGCACGCATACACTTAAATACAAGCGAATAATTCACTTATTCACATTATGTAGATGTACATATATACTACTATGTATTTGTTGGGACAACTTGTATGTATATCTAGAATTCCGCTGGCTTTCTGTACCGCGCCAGCTAAGGCGAAACCACCAGAGTCAGATAGCAAATGAAAGTCATAACAAAAATTGCGCAGCAGAAAATTCAATATATAAACGTGCTCGAAGCAGTATATTGCAAATAAACAAAAGCTATAGCGAGTTGGAAAACAAAATAAAAAATAAAGTATAAGTAAAAATTGTAAAATTGAAAATAAAAGGTAAGTGTAAAAGAAAATAAATATATTCGTAAAAAGAAAAAAATATATGTATGTATAAGCGAAAAAAAAAAATATAAAAAAAGCAAAAGCTATAAATGTTCAAACAAGACGAACCAGTTGCGTCGTGACGAGTTGGAACAAATGGAGGCCAAACGAATGAACGAGCGACGAGAACGAGTCAACAATGATGGCAACAAATAGCCGGCGAAATATATGTAGGCATGTGTGCAGAAAAAGTACACAATGATTATGCAATCGCTGCGATAATAATAACAATGTGAAGAAATAATATATATATAATTCAGTATATATTATACATACATATTTATATATACACACATGTACATATTTACTTCTTTTGCGCTATTTGGCTGCGCAAATGTCGAAGAAAATTAAAACTCGGCGAAAAGCAACAATGACTTCGGTTGTGTGAATTTCTAAATAGCAAAAATATTTTAAACTACTAGTTCTATTTATGCCAGTGAGCTAGACCACAACAAGTTATGCCTTGGGAGGCCTTATATAAGCCAGCTATAATTGCTTGAAAACACAATTAAAATAACATTTGTATGTACAAGTATGTATACAGAAGTATTCAGCATGCAGTGTGCGAAATAAGAAAAATGATTAAAAGCAAAAAAGCCGGCCGGCGAATGCAAGCGTATAATATTCATCCATGTAAACACGAATTTATTTACTTTCATTGCGCTAGTGTTTCTATTATTTTTTTTTTTATACTTTTAAACAGGTGCATATATAATCTGATGTTTGTGAACTGAAGCGGCACGACATCAACAAACAAAGCGCTAATTTACATTTGCTCACTCTATGGCAAAAAATAAATAAAAATAATGACAAATTTAGAAATTAGTAAGTTGTAAACATGTGAACAAAAATGTTTCTGTATGAGTATTTGAATTTATGAGGGTTTTAAAACTATTAACTGATTATAAAAAAAAAGACATTCAATTTATCTCGGAACAAAATGGAATTTGAGAACAGATTTGAGAATTTTTAAAACTTTTACCATATACATATAGTATGATTCTGAAGCTTTATTAAGCTTTTAAAAGTTATCTAAGGACATAAAAAATATGAATCACAATTTGGAGGAAATCCAAATCTAATCTAGCGAAAAGCACTCCAAAAATGAGACGAAAAACCTAAAATTCGCTAAAGGCACTGAGGCCATACCAACCAGCCGAAGCTCAGTAGCCGATTTTGAGGGCTATAGTAATGATTTGTATTAAAATATGTGGAAATGTAGTTTTTGTCAGTCCGGGTCAAATTTGATCATGTGGCATTTTTTGGTAAAAAATAAAAATTGGAAATGATATAAAACTCACAACATATTTTTTTTTTGCTTTTTATGCACAAAATCTAAATAATTTTGTGATTTTAAAAAGTGAAAATGAGAGGAGAAACAAGGTGATTTTTAGTATTTATTCTTTAAAGTTTAATCAATTATAAAACCGTGTATATGAATGCGATACAAGGTTTTGAATAGATTTGAGAGCTTATAATGGAACATGACAGTAAATATAATGTAATAGAGTGAAAATTATATATGTTACTTATGTATTATTATATATGTAATTTTAGTTATATACCATATTACTATTGAGTTTGATAAGCCAGCAAAATATTATGATAATAATTCTAATAGTTTAGATAAATTTATTCCTGCAATAATTAGGAGGCTTAATTGAGGGAAAATATTTATTATATACAAACCCTTTGATTGATTATGTTTTTATGACATTTTCACATCAAAAAATGGTATTTATAGTCATATTATATAACTTAAATAAATGTCTATCAAAGCAAAGCCATAAAGAACTGGCTTAATAAAATTGAATCAAATTTTTTTCTAACACACTAACTTTCGCTCTTACAATTAGTAGAATCAAAAAATAGGCATTACAATGTTCAAAAAATGCTAATTTTTCCAAAACCATATCAATCAACTATATTTTTATGACTACAATATATTGTAACTAAAATGTATGTGCAGACATTAAAGAGATATGAGTTGGAAAAATTTCAAAATATAAACCTAATATATGGCATCATACTGCTAGATTACAACTTTGTACAAAAATAGCAGTTGTATATGCTATTGCTTGCTCTTTTCCAGTATGTAGGTCAACAAATTTGTTGCTGAATACTTTTGTACACATTTACCCAGCCGAGAAAATATTAAATACGCCTACTCGAAACACATTATATAATAAAAGCAATAGTGTTTGAAGATTTTAGAAAGCATGAATATGGCTAATTTAATAAATAAAACAGTTTATGTTTAGTTTCGAGACTTCAAGTTTCGCTTTTTCTAACTTAATGCTTGATATTTCCTACAGGGTGTGGGGATATAAAAACTATAAAAAAATATATGTAGCAAATATTGATAAGGAATTGAATAGTGAAATGGTAGCGCGGCCTACATTGTTATCACCTTTATATAACAGATGCTAAGGTACCCACTTTATCAGTTTATATGTAGACACGTTTGAGAGCCAGCAAGTCTAAATGTAGGCTAAAATTAGCAGTTATGGCAATGTAGGCAATTTTTAATAAGTGCCACAGAGCCACAGCTGAAACGCTTAGAGCCTACTACTTATTTATATTTAAATAGTAATCTACAACTAAATATAAAAATACTTGAATTTTGTTGATTTTGCAACTTACCTAGAGGGCATATTACTTAAAATCTTATCAGTTATAAAACCAGCACGATTGCAACGCTCTACAAAACGATCCAATATTATATATGCAAGTGGCACATCCAAAACAATGTCAGCCATGTCGTCAAAAACGCGCAGGAAACCCTGTGTCAAAGAAAAAGATAGATAGAAAATATTTTATGTTCGCAAAACTATTTATCTCTAACGTATAAATATGTATATTTTTTATATAATACTTTGATGCAAAAATCTTTAAAATGTCATGATTTTACGCACCTGCTCCATACCGGCTGGCAATACCAAGCATGCCTCATCCAGCGACTTGAGTAGCTCACACATGGCCTCCTCAGTGGTCTGGCTAAGGGATTCGAGTGTCATGACAATGGCTTCATACACCAATTCATGATGGAAATGTGGTACTTCGAGAGCGCGAAGACAACGATGTGCCTCTTGTATGTCGCGTGATGACAAATACTCCTTTAGTAGCAAAGTCATCTCCTTGGTGATGGTCTTGACTGGTCGCAATGGCCCACCCATGCCCCAGACATTGTCCAAATGTGCCCAACCCTGTTTCATGTGTAGTAGGGTGTCAGCACGGCGTATAGCAGCGGCAGCGTGTTGACTTTGTACATCGAGATCAGTCGGCTTTGTGACGAATTTGGGTGGGAGGCAGTCATCGGCGACGGCACGTGCAAGGAAATTGCCTACATACAAGTGTGAAACAATAATGTGAATGCAAGGAATTGCAACAAAATTGCAACACTGTGTAGACAAAAGCCAACATGACGCACTTGGTGTGACCACCTCTCTTTACTTACCTAGTATGGTAGGCGCGTCCGGAGTGTCCAATGTCAAATCTTGCAAATTTTCCAGTAAAATTTCAAAACCTTTTTCGATATCCTTGCCGGTTATGACGCGTCCATACAAATCGGATATCAATACCGATGTCATTTCACGCTGCGAATCCTTATGATCCATTGAGATCTCAACCACAACGCTTGTCACATATGGTCGCAGCGGACCGGTAAGTATCTCGTCAAAGCTCACAGCGACCTCATGGGTATCGCCGTGCTCATAATACTCCAATACAATTGGTTCAGCCAATTTAAAGAATTGTTCCGATGTCAGCTCCGGAATAACTTCACGCAATTCGATGTTCTTATCATTACATTCACTATCGTAATTGGGATCATTCTCATCTTCATACACTTCTTCGAGCGCTTCCGAACCCGGCAAGCCCCAAACACCTTTACCGCCGGCACCACCTTTCTTTGGCAAACCACGACCATGTCCGTTGCGTGAACGGCGACTATTCTTCCAGCGACGATGTGGCACAACATAACTGCCCGTGGTGCTATTGAGAGCCGCGGCAATTGCTACACTGGCAGCACCATTCGTCTCGCCACGACTATTTTGTCGCTGTATGAGACGTTTGGCTTTGCGTTTGATGCGATCATGACCATCGCCGACCGGTAACGGCTTCTTCATGAGCCCATTCAAGCTCTTCGCCGAATTAGATGAGCCATTTAGCTCCACAGCCTGCACTTCTTCGTTGAGCTCACGTTCGACGGAACTTTCACGTGAGTCCGCATTACCGTTTTGTTGGGCGGTTTCGACATCCATCTCGTTTAATATTCGATTACTAATGCTTTCTTAAATTCGCCTGAGTTCAGTACGTTAATTTAATTATACAGTGTATTTATTTACGTATTTTGTGTTTGATGAATATATGCAGTTATACTCCGATGTCACACAATTTCTACGGCAAACAATGTTCACTCACTCACTCAAGTATACAACACGCTTATGGATGGACTTGTACTTTTCAAGCAGGTGCTTAGAAAACAATTAATTTATAATAATAGTATGCGCTTAAAGGTGGAGTTTGCAAAGGCTGCAATGGTGTTAGTAACCTCACAACCTCCAAAACCTTTAGGGCTTCACAATTGGTGTATTAGGAATCCAGCGCTGTAGCTAAAATGAAAGAATGCGAAATAAAAAAAAAAATTATTACGATAAAAAAATTTTTGGAAAAAAGATAAAATTAAAATTTAAATCATTCAATTTGAGATCTTAAAATGCTCTATAGCATCTGATCAAATTTAACCCAGACTGAGTTAAAAAACACATTTTCTCGTTTTTTTAATACAAATATTTGTTACAGCAACGCAAAACATTAACCAAACTGGTTAATTCGATCTCGAAAACCAACACGACGTTTTTAAAGCACTGTTTATTTAGTATTTGATGACTTTACGACTTTCACTGAATGCTTTGTGCCACAAATACTTGTGTTGTTGTAACAAAGTACTACCCAAAACACTTCTGCAACATTTGCAACGATTCAGTACCCGTGATTCCACGCGTTGTTACATTTTTTTCTTGGTAAAATCGCGAGACAAACTTTTCGCAAAACAAACAGCCAAAACATACGAATCGACATATGGAGATCCAACCTCACATGAACATAAAAAAGGAATTTTGAAATCAGTGTAGCTAAAATGGGCCGAGTTCAAGTCAAATTTGATCAAATGGTATCGATATGTACATATATTCTTAATTTCAGAATCTCTTCAATTAAAGGACTTGAAAATAATTCCTATAAGTGCCAAAAATAACAACATCTTAGTTCATATTTTTGAGAGCGCTAACCTAAAACTTCAAAATAAAATTACTAAATGTTTTTCTCAAATTAACTGCTTTATGACCTTAGAATGCAACAGTTCTTTCACATTACGACCTTAAATTGCTAAAAACCTGTCAACAATTGCATAGTGTAAAAAATACTTAATACGCTGATAAAGGTCAAACTTTAAATGCAAATATGTTTGCAAGTATACACTAGAAAGCCGCGTTCAATGCACCGAGAACAAATCATGAAACCAGCCAACCAATCCGGACTATCAAATTATTTCCACAGTCATTTGATACACCGAACACGTCAAGCGAAGGCAATCTTGACTCACTAGATCTTCGCTTAGTATGCATTTATGTATATGTATGTATATACACATATGCTGCTTAACTAAGTAAATATCACAACTGGGCGATAGTTGACGCAAAAACAACCATTCAAACATATATTGGCATGGCTTGGCTTTTGAGTGCACCGACTGACTGGCTGCCAATTGCGAAAATATTTTATGCACCAACATGCACTTAAAGCCAAAGTACTAGTTGAAGGTTTATTTTTATCTACATTCTATTTACATTTACACACATATCCATTTTAGTTATTTTTTATGAATGCTTTTATGCTTTTTCGAGTTTAAGGCCTTAGAAGTGCGTCGCAGTTGGCTCGCTTTCCATAAGAATGGTGCATACATATATATGTATGTATGTATGCCGGTTCTGTCTCACAAATCAAAGTATGTGTCAGTTATGTCGGTACATAAACAATTCTTTTATTGGTTTTGTCTGTCAAGTTTAGCATTATCATTATAATAAAGCAAAGACGTACGTAGTTAAATCCAAAACATATAAACAAGGAGTAATTATTATAATTTAAAAAATAAATAAATAATATGTAAATAACAAAATAAAAGTAAAACTAAATTAGAAAAAAAAAACAGAGAAAATGTTAAATTCGGCTGCAAATATACATATGTACGAGTATGTTTGCACATTCTTCGAGTACCCCCTATCAATAATGACGTTTACCTACGAATGCATGTGTGTTGTTGTGATTTAAATTGCGGCGCAATTAATTTAATCAAAGCGAAACTGTTCGTTAATGAACCGAACCGAACCGAAAATTTACAAGCTCTGGAATTTCTTATATAAAATGCGATGATGTTTGTTTGTTTGTTTGTTGTTGTTGTAGTAGTAGCGGCAGAAAAGATTCCTGAAGTACTTTCGAGGAATGGTGTCGAGTTAACCGTCCTTGGCCGGATAAAAATCCGGGTCCGTTCCGGTTACTTAGACCCAACTGTCGAGGGAACGGTGATGTTGTTGTATTTTATTTCGATTACAAGTACATATGTGAATTTAATAAATTAATAGCCATTAAACCAATAAATATTATAAGGAATAAAGGGAGCTGGTACCACCTCAGTGGGTTCTTGTTCGGGATAAAGTAGCCGAAACGATGTGGAACTAAACAGGTAGAATGCTAGTTGGGCCAGAAGTGACGGAACTATCCAGGATTTACATACTTATCTACATATTTGGTGAATACGTAACACCTCCAAAAATCATTTGAAGACTAAATCGATTGAAGACTATTTAAAATTTTGAATACACATGAATAATATATAAGATACTTAAATAAAAGTGTCTAGTTATTGCACAACCGACCTGACCTACCATAAATTCCGCAATTGCTTTTAAATTAGTTTTACGTATTCACACGCGAGCCCAACACTTGTAACTATTATAAACGCCAATCAAAACACATACAAGTGAAAATTTCTGCTCGAGCAGATGACAAGTGGAACTTGCGGATTCGGATAATTCTAAAAATATTGCGCAGTTTTCTGTAAATAGCACGGAAATAGTTAGAAAGGAAAGGTAAGAGAGAGGAGATAAGTTTCAGCTATAAATGTCAAAAAAGCTCTTAACTATGCATATATAAAATTATGTATGTATGTACTCACATCCATACATCCATACAGACATATAAATTTGTATTTGCAATTATAGCGTCTATGTATACAGGAAAGGAACGAGAAGCTTGTGAAGAGCAGCTAGGCACACCCAGTATAATCTAACAAAGTCTTATGAAAACGAAAGTGAGGCTTTTTTTGCAAAAATATATACTAACATACATATGTATATAAATGCATTGGGGCATAATATATGTATATGTAAATATGACAGGGCAGGTGCAGGAGAAAAAAATTGTAGTAACCGTGAAATTTGTGAGAAGCGTTTGCCGGCTAACTGATAGAGAGCAGCGAGCAGCTTTTACACGACAAATTAAAACGCAAAATATTTTTCGGAACGAACGCACCACCAAAAGCCAATAAAAGTAAAATACAAAAATTAAATAACACTGTAACGAAAGCAAAGCATATCAACAACGAAATTTTCAAGGTTAAACCGGACAAACATAAAACCAGACAAGAGAGAAGGCACAAACTAAAAGGCACGGTGCAAACAAAGTGTATATGAACATAATATTGCATGTGTGTATGTATGTATATATTTTCATATATCAAACTGACTGAGCTGGAAGATGGAGTGCGACAGAATGCTTGGGGCTCGACTAAGGGTGGAAGGTAATCGAGAACATGTGGAGTAGGGAAAAGTGGGAATGAGCGGATATGCGCTCGAGTAAAACATGGTAATGGCAAATAGAAACCGGTTACAACAAAAATAACAATTGTTTTTGATCACACGTCAACAACAAAGTACTCTGGAGTGACTACCCTGTAGGAAAAAATTAGTAGGTATACACATGGCGTGTGCCAATCGTGTCTTAAAGCTGTATTAAAACAGATTTCAATATTTTATCAATAAACTTTTTTATTAATACGCGACAATTGTGACCCAATAAGTAGATGCATTATCAGTAAGATAATATTATATGCAAAATTTTTGCAAAACAAAATCATGTTACAGAAGTAACCAGTGTGGAACTGAATGCGTCTTCCTTCTGGGTATAAACTGCCTATGCATATCTACTTATGTTATAAATATGTATGTCTGTACTCATATATATTGACATACAAGTATATATGAGCGTATTGACATATACATATGTATATGTAATACATACATATCAAATTTTTGTCATATTCATAAATGTTTCATATATCGAATATGACACATATGTACATACATAAATGGGTACATAAAAATATCTTCCTATATGTATTGAAAATTCAAATATGTACTCCATATACGTACATATGTATGTACATTTGTAGACACCGAATTAGAATTAGCTTGTTACCTGCTCAAAAAAGCCACGAAAGGAGAAGCAAAAAGAGTAAAATATAAATAAAGTACAAAGGAAGGCTGAAAATCTGTCAAATTAAATTCAAAATTATGGCATTCCATCAAAAAATAGTTAGAATAACAATTTCTCCAACAATCGAGTGTACGAAAAAACTCCGATTTATATCCATCGATAAATCAATTATGTTATTTTCTAAGTGTTCCCAATACTGAATCCCAGGTTTTATAAGCCATTTTGGCGAGCCGAAATACCATGATAGGGTTTGATACATAAATTATGGAATTGCATTTAATACGCGTATTTTCAGGATATGATAATCGTTAAGATTATTTTCGCTTGAATATAATTCAAATATTAAGGGGACACCTAGTGCGAAACCTTTAAAAATAACATACTAAAATTTCAAATCGAAATCTCAAATAATTTTTGAGTTACAGTCTTCTAAAGTGTAGCCGCTCAGGTCAATCAGCTCCCTTTGATTATCTTTTAACTAGTTTTTCTCAAAAAATAATTTGCCAAAATTTTGAGTAAAATTAAATCTTTTTTTAAACTACGCAATTTTGTCGATCGTAGGACATTTATGGACAATATCTTCTGGTAGAGTTTTATTTTTAGGTTTCATCCACATAGTAGTCCGAAATCACTACAGTAGTGGAGAACATTCTTTTTGCCACCGACGATCTAAAAGTATATAAAATATACATAAATATACCATTAAAATAATTGACAAACGTTTTTTAATTTTTTTGATTCCTAAAAATCGTCATTTTTTAGGCTGTCCCACTAGGATGATAATGAATGCAAATCAGTCTTAACCTATAATTGCACCACATATTTTGAGGTTATATTGCAAACTGCTAGTTCTCCTAGTTGTAAATTATGGCATGACGTGGAACAAGTTCTGAGTATCAAATTTGATGTTAATTTTGTATGGTGTTGGGGATCTGATTGACAGTTTTAGTGGCTAGAATATAAAAATTCAAAATAAGTATATGTATAACTGGCTATTTATGTTTTTGGCTCATATTCTGTTGATAACAATGATAGTATTAAGCAACAAAAATATATAAATTTTGAGGTCATAAATATTCTTACATTTCCTTCAAATATAATTTTTTGTACTAATAAGGCATTCTTTTGGTGTCACTGTATATTCAAATGCTTTGAGGGTAACATACTTGTATGTATGTGCGTGCATTTCAGGAATCACTTAGGGGAGTATTTTGTATAAAAAAACGGAATTTGAAGTATGTGCATGCAAGGATATGGGAACGCACAGCGCATGACCTTGAAAATTTGTATGCAACAACATACCATGTAGTATATAGTGGATATGGGCGTGTTAGTTATATATGTACGGATGTATACCAATATATTCCAGCAATTTAAAGCACCACATACCTAAATACAACAGGATATTAGACGGTAAACGAGATTTTGTTGGAACATGAAACTGCGTCGCAAAATTAAACGCCAGGCATTCTGAGCAGATGTAATATAAAATAGCGGACTGTGCGTTTGAAATCATAAAATGTTGGCGGGCAGAAGCTATTACATGCGTACAGCACGAAAACTTTAGACGGGTCATGGAGAAAGGCGTGATACTATAGCGTGAATTGTCTCGCTTTTAAGCATTTAATTCAAAATTAAATAATATATTTCCTTACATTTCTTTAGTCAAAACATTGAAAAGTGCGTCGCAAATAAGAGAATTTCGGCACTACATTTAATTATGTATGTGTTTGTTTACGTATGTACATATGTTTTCACCGATCAAAAGTTGAAATGAAAATAAACACGAATTGTGCGCCAAATGGATCGTTGCCAGCAAGAACGCACGCATATTTTCTACTCAAACGCCGGCAGTGGCTGTAGGTGTGGATTGGATATAGCAGGCGGAGACTAGACGCCACAAACATATTGTTGTTGGTGTGGATACTAGACAGCTAGCCGATGATGTTTTGTCGCTGCTATTACATATTCAAACTATATTACTTCACACGTATACATATGTATAGATATGTATATATATATATACTTATAAATTTTTATTGCTGTAACCTTTCGGCCATCACAGTGCTACCTTTTAATATTATGCTATGTTGTTAGTAGATTCTTTGTGACAACATGTGATTATTATTATTATTCTTTTCGTTATCCGTTTCTACAAATTTTCTTCATATTCTAAGATAAAGTAGCCAACTGCAAAATATACTTAAAAACAATTTATTACATATTATATGCATACAAATAAACATTCATATCACACTTGATTTTGTTGGTGGCTATGCACTCTGCTCGGCGGTTTGACGCTGTCAACTTTATCACGTAGGCCACTAAAAAAAAAAAGCAAACATGTGTAGTCGGAATAAAAAAAAAAAAAAACTAAAGGTGAACAACAACAGTAGCACCAGCGTGAATGAAAACACACTGTTTTTATTTCAAAATGCTTGTTGTTAAAAATTGTTTGTACAGGCCATAATTGTTGTTGCAATCGTGACCCAATTTCGTTTATTTGCAGATAACATCCCCTAATCTCGAATAAATTAAAGAATATTATGGATAAGAAACTTGTTTCTTTGCTTGTTCTATTGGTGGTTAATTGACATTTTGGCACTATTTTTCAAAATTCTAGAAAATATTACTTTTTTTCTTAAGCATTTAGTAATAAATAAATCGTTATATTATTTTTTTTTTTTTTGGAAATTTAAATTTTTACACACCTATTTTAACAAACAGTCGAAGAAAAAATTAAAGCACCATAAAGCAAAATTTAGTATATGGTTCCTGTCAAAGTATTATAATTGAGTGTATACAATTAAACTAATTATGCATTCATAATTGTTGGAATTCTCGATAAACAACTTCAAGTATATGATTTTCATTTGAATAATTATGCATCTCATTAGTATGTTCTCATTAGAATGTTCTATTTAGCTATGAAAACTAATTGAAAGGCTAAAAAGGCTAAAAACACAACGTTAATGAACATTCGATAACAATAATAAAAGAATAAGTCTAATTATGCTACTACGTATCAAAACAAAAATCATTTCTACAATTTTTACTCGCTACTGTGGTCATATAATTACTTACTCTTAGTACATTAGAACTATTTATTATTTTTTTGAACTGCGCAATTTTACTTAAGGAGTGAACAGACCTTTCACTTTCATTAAGTTAACGGGTATATGTGGTTAAATCTTAGTATATCTTATTTAAAATAAGAGCTTATTTATTCAAACACATTTGTTACATATTTACAAACGTACATACATACATATGTATGCAAATATTTTTGAAAAGAACGACGACGACGACGACGACGACGACGACGACGACGAAAAACCCACTGGCCATTTGTGGCGAATATATATACATACATATGTATATATTCAAAATTTCTGTATATAACTGCAGTAAATGTAAACAACAAAAACATGTATATTAATTTCTTTTATTGTTTTGTTAGAATGTACAATAGATATATAAATTTTGCAAACGGAAATTGCTTTTTATTGCATTTTCACTCCTGACCAAGCAATTATATGAATATTGCAGAGACACCACAAACATCAACCTTAAATAATAAATTTTTAGAAAACCATTTTATTTTTCATAGTCGCAAATCAGAAGTTTTAATTTGCATTTTTATGCTTCAACATTTTTTGCTTTCGTCTGCTGCAATTGCATCGGTTCACAGGTTCAACTATATTGCTAATAACAGCAATATTTATAAATTGTTCATGGTATATATAAATATCTATTCATAAAACATTTTTATATATGGTATATTTGTGTATGTGCTTGTTTATTGCTTAGCACAACAACCGTGCAGACCGGCAATAACAACCGGCAAGGCAACGAATAACACAATGTTTTGTCGCCGTTCTCCAATTCCATTTGGTGGTGCGGCAGCAAAAACACTACAAGCACATTCTGGAAAATTCCATACATTTTCAGCATAGTAATGTATAATATTATGAAAAAAATGTTTGTAGTTAAGTTACACATTTAAAAACAAGAGAAATATTATGAAGGAAGTAAAATAATTCAAACGTATCTGGATATTTCCGTCAGAAATGAGTGTTTTCTTTATATTCATACACAGGAAGCCGAACTGGATGAGAATATATTACATCAGCTCGTCAGTGGCGGTATACAACATGTGTATCTATCCACATAATGGCTATTTATTTATGTACAAAAAGAACCAAGCTGCATCATATGCCGCAAGTCAACTATAGTCACGATGGCAAGTTTCTTTTGATAGCACATTCACGTTGTAAAAATTAGGTATCTATTTATGTACGTACATATATTCTAGAAAAATCCAATCACTAAATATTACGCCGTTTAAAATTAACTATGAATTGAATACGCAAGATTAAAATTAACTATGAATTGACACAATAAAATTAAACCGTAATGAATTTTGTATAGCAATGCCTACCTTCGTTTCCTTCGGTCGAAGATTTATTCCCCAATATTTATTGAGAAATTAGTTCTGTATATACTATTTTCCAATGTTCCCGCAGTATACCAAATGGTTGGCTACTGGCAATCGTTGCTATAATTATTGAATTTGGTTTGTTTTTCCAAAAGTGTAATCACTCTATACACATTTAAATAATGATTTTTGCCGATTTACTGCAATTTTTCTTACAAAGCAATCGCGCAAAGACACTTGAGTTCTCGTTTATATTTAGCAGTCTATTCAGTTATTCAGGTTTTTCCCCAATTGGATTTTCGCAAAGCATGCAATTGTATTTTTATGCTGAAGAATGTAATTTTTAAATGTCAGCGACAGACGAAAAATAATTTTTGGCAGAGACTTAAATGCTCGGTTTTGTATTTTTATAAGTTTTTTTCATGAAGTTTTTTTTAACAATCTTGTAAGTAAGCAAAGTTTATTTTTATAATTACTTTTTGACAAGTGAAGAGTGTGATGGGAGAAAAACAAATCGCGAAAAACAACACATACGCACTTTGGTGGAAATGCAATATAAAAAAAATGCCTTGTTGCCTTTTTCCAAATTTGTGACTTTCTAGCGAATTAGACACAAATTGGTTTCGCTATTGCCTTTGCACATCAAAAGCAAACACTTCGCTTTCTATTGCTGCACTAGTATTTTATTTAAAGTTACCCAATTATTATCAGCACAGTAATTACAAGAAAACTTTTTAGTTGACAATCCAAATGCAAGAAATTCACTCAGCTTTTAAGCGTTCAAATACTTAAAGAACTATTCAGCTTGTGGCCAATTAATCGTGTGTTCGCTCAAGAAATTGCGACAAAGCTGGTAACCGTCAAATGTGTTCCCCTCAATCATACGCTTGCAGTGTTGCATAAAATGTAGCATAGAAAAGTGTGCAATGGAATACTGTGTAAGTGGAAGGGGAACGAGATATTACAAATTTTGTAGCTTTAAAATGTTTCGTCGTTATTTTAATATTACAAAAAATATAAACAATATTATATTGTTTAATTTATAAAAAATAATACGTTCTCAATGAATAAATAAAAATACAGTTTGCGTATCTCCTCTTACACATTCAGATTATTTCCCCTCTTTATATTTATTTTTGTTATATTCGTTTCGTGATTATTCCATTTTTCGCTGCTCAAACGCCACTCTTTAACATCTTGTTCTCTCGGGTATTTCTCAACACACGGCTGCCATATAATTCGTGAAATCACCTAAAGTTATTTTCAAAATTGTTTATGACAATATCTGACTTATACCCAAGCGGGCTTAGTCTAAGCACACGTTTTATGTAACAACTACCGATTGCAAATGGGCTTAAGTCCCCGAAATAGCAGCCTTGTGGTCTGGTAAATTCCAGTAACGAAAATCCGGCTGTTGTGGAAATTTGTATGTCAATGCTGGTATCTCAATAAAATATCCAAAACATACTTATTAGCCAATATGTTTGAGGTCTATGCATTTTTTTAAACGCCCTAACGTTTCTTTATACACATCAATTTATTTCGCGAAAACTAAAAATAAATTAGTTTTAGGACATATAAATTAAAATTTTGCTCAAAGAGTTTTCATAAATTGTTGATTTTAACCATGAAATCACTAAATACTACATTTTCGTAGTTAGCGAACTGGCAACTCCTTCATTCATGCCCGTTTACTGCTAACTTTCGTTTGTTTTGATTTCGCTATTTTGTTTTTGTTTCCATTTGAAATTTAGTCAATTGTAAATTCTGCTTGTTGAATTTATATTCTAACATATATATATTCTTGAAATTATATTCTAACGGCATTAATGTAATTAAATTATTAGTAATCACCTGATGGATAACTGGTTTCGTACGAATCAAAGAATCAATCAATTATGCAGTATCTTTAATAATTCGTCCCCTTGCTTAATTAAGTATGTTTTATAGGCAGTTGCATCAATTACTAATATAATAAATAGTAGTGTTGGTATTATTGTATCAGTTGAACCCGTATTTTTTACTGTGTATGTACATATGTATATTATGTATTGTATATAATATGTATGTATGCATACTCCACAATTATGAAAATATCAGCTGGTTCGCGACCAATATTCATCTTTTGTATGTATGAATGTATATATGAACATACCATCTCATAGACATATATACATATGTATGTGTAAACAAAAACGTGGCTCCACCTCGCATGAGAGGTCATTTGGTCATCCTTGATTTTGGTCCTTTGGGGAGGGCGTTTTCATTACTAAGCTAATTGACCCTTGTTTTATTACCGAGTCTTAATTAGGTCGTTGACTGAAGCAAGCGAGTTTCAGAATGCTTAAAATCATAATATCATAATCATAAATCAGTATAAAACGTTTTAATCATATACATACATATTTTATTCGCAAATATTAATTTAAAAACTAAAAATCAAATTATTTCCCCTTCCGAATATAGAACGTATTTTCGCTGCTAATTGCGTAGAGCTTCGCAAACCGGTAATTTGTAGTGTATTCCCCTTATTTACATTTTTATCGTATGTTTTGCTATTTCTGTTGTGATTTCGATATTCTGCTATACAAAGTTTCCCCCTTTCTCATTTGCTTTCAGTTATTTCTAAATACCCATACCCCACCTAAAGTAACGAAATCCAGAGAGCGAAAGAGTCTATTGGACAAAAAAAAAAATTCTATTATTCGCTCTCATTTGAGTATCGTGCGTTCAGAGTTGCCGTTATAGCTTGATCATACTAAATTTAATACTAATGCAGATTTTTCGAATTAAAAAATTTCCTCAGTATTTTCAGTAGTTTTGTACAGAAAACTTTTGTTTGTTTTCAAAATGCTTTTAGAGGCAGAAATCAGTGTATTTTCTTCTTTTTAAGAATAGTACTTTGCACTCTTGCTTTTGTTTTTGAAGTGACAGAGAACGTATATCATAGAGAAGGTTCATCAACAGTGGCAACCAGCATTGGTGTACGTGATATTTTATATAAATTTGAAGCGTGTGCTTTGGGTGTGAGCATGATTCGAATTCGAATATAATACGGCGACTACATATATTTATATACAATTATAGCAAGGTTGCAAATACAAATTATCTAATTCTTTTTATTAATTTATTGCGATTACCAATAGCTTTTGCAGCTTAAAGCTATTATAATTATCGAATATATTTTTTTAGTTGTTTTGTCATTGTATAGAAATACAAAATTAAAGCTTAATAATTAATTTACCGCGCAATATTTGGCTACTACTACTACTACTACTTTATTTTACAACCATTGAACCGTTGCTCGGTTCGTGTCTTGGGTAAGTGTTTGTGTCGAGGGTTTAGGAAACTATACATTGGCTTTTATGCGTTAAGGTTCAAATTCTTCTCTCCTTCTTTATCTCTTTGTTGTTGTTGTGGTTATTTAAATTCCACATATGGGGAAATGTTGAACAGTAGATTTAGGAATAAAATTGATACTATGGAGTTGCTTGTATGATAGAGCGCAATTGCAGTCGTGTTGGATTTCAGTAACTGGAGCTCTTCCGCTGCCATTTGTTGTGGTCTGACTTCGAGAACATTGTACGCAAGAAGAGAATTGATAAAGATGTATTTTATGAAGTCTCTCTTGCTGTGTTTCAAACAAGTCTCAACTGATTTTTATCAAAAGCGTGGAGGGCTATACTGTGCGGTTGGCTTGCAGCATGCCCTCAACTTCTCGTCCTTCGCTATTAACCTTATTGAAAGCTTTCAGCAGTTCAAGAACTAACGGTAATGTTCTCTGACGGGGGATTCTTGCGTGAGCTATGATTTCGCTGATCAATCATCAAAAATATTTGTAAGGAGTACCAGGAATCAGTAGTGCTATTTCTCTACACACTGGCAAATCGTAATCTCTCCATTGTTTGTTTTTTTTAACTATGCTACTCTCTACTTTTCGAACCGGAAATTTGAATGATAATTTAATATAACTGTATTTGTGATTACGGTGTTTTGACTTAAAGACTCATATTTGTGACAGTTAGAAGATAATAAGGCATGGAAGCAATTAAAAACTAATTACTATTTTGTTATTGCGGAAGTATAAATAACAACCATGAACTCGAACGATGCATTATCTGAAATGTTGAAAATATTTTTTGCCGCAGTAATACCTTTGCTTTTAACAGTAGCAGAGGCTTATTATCCTCCAGGTGGCCCAAATCGATTCGGGCCACCTCGTCCAGGTGGTCGGCCACCGGTGGCTGGAAGACCAGGTGGTCCACCTCCTTTTTCATTCCCACCACGTCCAGGTTTCCCTGGACCAGGACCTAGACCGCCAGTACCACGACCACCACCAGTGCTACCACCGCGACCACCGCTACCACCGCGACCACAACCACAGCCACAGCTGGGTAATCTGCGTCTCTGCACTTACACACAGTTGGCACAAGATAAGTGTCTCTACACGCTGGCGGCGGCTGCCAACGCATCCATAGACCTCAAGTTGCAATGCGTACAAGCTAGTTCCTTCGCCGCCTGCCTAAGTGCGATCCAAAGATCTGCGGCTCACTTGGTGGTGGCCGATGATCATGAGTACAGGGCAGCACGTGCCGCCTATTTAACAACGGTATTGTATGCACACGAAAACTTGACCGACTACTATGTGGCCGTGGCGCCTAGGAACATTACACTGGTCGATTTGGATGAGGCAACTATGTAAGTGTTATTCTGAATAAACTTCGTTTTAACAGGTCCTGACGTTTTTTCGTGCCCAACAGACAGGTCAACGTGTCGAATCCGCGGGCCTTGGATGCTGCCGCTTATTTCAATCTCCAACGTGGTCATGACATTTGCCAGCAGTCCGTTCTTGACAATGTTACCATACAAATTGTCAATACGGCGGAATACAATGCCACCGATGATGAGATTCTAATTTGCGCCAATCGCACCGTAGCCGAATGGAGTGATTACAGAACATGCAACTTCGAAACGAGCTTGGAGCGTGCAGTCTTCGCCGCAAAGCCTTTGGCGGCCAGTGCTGGCTTTAGGTGTCTGGTTCAAAGTACCTTCAATACAATTCTGAATAGTTTCGGTTCGGAAAACGCTACCTGGAATTTCTTTGCCGATTTCCAAAATACATCCGATGTAATCTTTAAGGTAAGTGCTATTGGGTTACTCATATGTTTGATGCAATTAGTGTATACTGGTATTATCAGTTCCAAGCGGGAGTTTCCGTTCCCGTTCGCGCTTGTATATTTTGTCTAGTATGTACTTGTATGTATGTATATTTCGTGAACAAAAATCTCAAAAACATGCATTTGCCATTAATATGATAGCGAAGTCGAATAGGTCATCGAGCTCTTGTAATAAGCATTTATTATTCGCTAAACATTAGACATCTTGACAGATAACGGTTATTACATTTACACAGCTGCGTTTAGAGGCAAAGGTCTAAGAGTAGTGCTCTTGTGTAAATTACATTTAGTTGTTTTTTGTTTTTGTATTTACTAAAATTTTTCTTAAGTGAGAACACGGCTACTGGAATATGGTAATCACGAGATCAACTTCGCAAAATACGTACCTACGAAGTCGAACTTGCGAACTGCAATGAAAAAAATATTATCGATATCTATGAATATCGCTAGAAATGTTGGTATTAGGTATTTTTGGTGGCCGGTTCCTTCATCAGAATGGACGCTGATTTAATATCAACAAATCATAATAAGTCTTGAACGTATGATAAATGTGGTCCCTCTTGCGCCCACATCAGCATACAATAGTCCTCGGTTTGTTGACGCGAATTAGAAGCTTCTTTTTCATTGAGTTATAAAATTTTGCCTTTAAATAGTCATACTTTAACCGTTAATATTTTTCAAACGCTTAGCTTTACGAAAAAATCGTTAAAGACCGTTGTGTAGAGCATTAAATGTAGATATTTTTTTAAAGCAGTTGAAAGCGAGTTTTGAATTTTTCTATCTGACCTTGAAGTTACAATTACAGCTCATACTTGTAGAGCCTTTCTTAGAGGTGTCTAAGAACGTATTTTTCTGAGTACCAAGCTATAAAAATATTCGTTTCTTTTGCCCTTTCTAATGTATATAGGCCTTAAAATTACTGAAAGTTCTATAAAGCTTTGACTAAGCAAAATCGAATTACATCTACTATTGTTTCTCACATAACCCTCTCAGAAATCCTATCAAGTTATTTAACTTGACAATAGTTAATCTATGGCAACAGTATATACCAAATTTTCCAAGTATTACACAGTTCCTATATTTTTGTAGATTTTGATAGTAAGTAAAGTTTCCGTTCGAACTTTGTAGGACTTTACTTATTTGCTTTTATTCAATGTTTCACCTCAACCTTTCGATTAACTATACTTGTATAAATATTTATGCAATGTTTAACTTAAACTGCGGGTTCTTCCCAGCGTTTTCAATATCCTATTCTCAATTCTGGAGGAATCCCTAAAAAATATAAGATTTTTAAATTATTTAAATATTAATATAAGCTATAATATTACAGTTAGAAGTTAGGCCAAAGGGCTTCCTGAATGTATAAATATATCAATTGTTTCATCGATGAATTCAAAAGCAAATTAAAATTTTTTCCACAGTATATTACACATGAAAAGTTAGAAATTTTAAAAAATTTTATGAGCCTGTATTTATATTATATTTATAGTGAAAAGCGGTCCCAAAAGAATGTTTGGAGAATTTCCTTCATTTTTTAGGAAGCTTTATTATATTAAACTGATGAAAAGTCTGATACTGATCATATTTACATATATACTATGTATTTTTTTCGAACTTACAGAATTACACAATTGGTTTTTCGCAAAGTCCCATCATCAGAAATGGCATCACTGAGCAAGTATTTAGCCAATTGCATTGCAATAACGTAACGGTGCACGATCCTAGCGAACTGGAATGAGTTAATGGAAGTCTTGAACATACAAATATATACGCTCAATATATACCCCGACATATAAATTAAATACATGCATATACGAGTATCACAAATTGTTAAAGCGTTCAAATTTCTTCGATAAGTTTTATTGCTGGGGTCGCAATTTTTAAGGTTGGTCTGTATTTAAAATTTAAATTTAACCCTTTCAAATGGTTTGCATACGAACATAAAAGCTTACCCACCCTGTATATTGTGGAATTGTGAAAGCGATCACGAAAGTTCCAAGCGTTTTATGTTGCAATATTGACCGAGACCAAAAGGGAAAAAAGTGTATATATTGGCGATTGAAAATCGTCAGGTATTATCTGTCATTTTATCTAGAATTTAGACCACTTACCATCTGATAAAATTTTACCCCGACTGACAAAGTAAAACTAAATGTTCACGTCAGACGGTTGTTCTAATGCTCGGCTGGGACGGTCATTATGTCTTCAGCGAGTTTTGGGTTTTTCCGTTTTTGCTCATTTTTGGAGTGCCATTAATTAGATTGTTGTCATGTAGGGTCCTCAGCTACTCGATGTCGTTTTTGCAAAAGATTGTGGTCTTTTAGTACGAGTCTAGCATTGACTTGCTGCTTACCCAGAACATTAACTAAAATATGTTCAGTCCATTTATAAGAGAGGTTGAGCCAATCTAAAAAAATTATCGATTCGGTTTGCTCGCACACTTTAAATGGACCAGAGCGAGTCAAATTTCGGCTGCGATAATTTTTTTTTAAGGGGTTTTGCAATGTTCCCGATGTTGCAAGACTTTTAAGACATTTTCTTAATCAATCGTTGAGCTAAGAGCCACCATTTCGCAGGAATTTTATGAGATCCTAATTCGACCAAATTTTAAGAGTGTTTTTTAATAGTGCTTAATAGCAATTATTCGAGAGTATTTCACGAAAAAAATTTTACAAACGTCCAGGACATTCACCACAGGTGGTTAAAATTTGTTGTGGCTTTCTCCTGTTGTCGATCAACAGACGATCTAATACGCCACATTTTTATAATATATTTAAGAAAATTCTGGTCATTATCTGCAAGTGCATGATGTTATCAGATTTCCATAGCTATATTTTCCTAGAATATTTGTACTCTTTGACAATAATTTGTGGTTTAATCAGAAAATTTTCAGGAACACATACTGTATGGGAAAACCAAATAATAAATAGAAATAATAAAATATAATCGAACTGCAAAATAATGTAACATATATTGTATATATTTTTATAAGTCATAATTCATATTGCATCTGCCGATTTAGTTTGACTTATGCTTATCAGCGTTTCTATTTATATGAAGGGGGTGTGTGTATGGGAGATTTTCGTTGAAAATTTATTCCGATTAAATTGCATAATATCAAGTAAATAAATATGTTTATAAATATTTGTAATTGCAAATAATTTCTACTAATGCATTAGAAATCATAAAATGTTGCTTTGGTAATTATGAAGCGTTATAAAGTTCATTTGATGTAAAGAAGAGGCTCTTTCAAGCAATTGGAAAATATGTGAGCAACATAAAGATGTATACATACATATGTAGGTATGTAGATTCGAGCCACCCATCTTCCACCCATCGGCCCATGAAATCGGTACATATTGTATTTTCCAACAGGCGTAGATGTATTTATTCTATATCAGACTCTCCGATCTCCAATTGATATTTAAAGGTTGGTGGATAGGTTTCTGCTCTCACCAAGAAATAGCACTAATAGCTCCAAATCTTTTTCTCAAGTTGGTTTATCTGCCGTGAGAACACATGCAAAGTTACAAATCATTCTGTCAATTAATTCTTTGTTTACAAGCAATTTGAAGTTGATGTGTCAGAGTATTTTTTTTATATGGAAAAATTTAATATCGCGGAGTAATTAGTTTCTTTGTTTTGAAAGTTTAAAATCGAAGGAAATTTATGAACAATTGTTAGAAGTGTATACGGAGTTCTCACCATCAAGACGCACCGTTAAATTTTGGGCTGGTGAATTTGAACTTGGTCGTACTAGGCTTGAAGACGATCCACGCGAAGGACGACCAAAAACCGCAACCACATCAGAAATCATTGAGCAAGTTCATAATCTTGTTAGTGAAGATCCAAGTTTGTACTAAGCGTGAAATTGCTAATGCCATAGCCATCTCATCAGAGCGAGTACTTCATATTTTACATGTTGAATTATATGAAAAAAGCTGTTTGGAAAGTTAGTGCCGCACACGTTAACAATTCAACGAAAACTGGATCGAAAACAAATTTCTCAGCATAATTTGGAACATTTTAAGCAGAATAAAACCGATTTCTTGCGCCGTTTTATAACTATGGAAGAGACTTGGATCTACCACCATGATGCTAAATTGAAATAAGAACGTTTACGTTGGACTGAAGCTGGTTGTTCAGCGCCAAAGCAGGTGAAGTCACAACGATCAGCAAAGAAGGTTATGGCATCCGTGTTTTGGGATGCAAAAGTAGTTTTGTTGATTGATTATCTGCAGAAAGGCTCTGAAATCAGCACTGAATATTATTGTAGCCTTTTGGATCAGCTGGATGAAAAAATTCGTGAACAAAGGCCTGGCTTGCAACACAAAAAAAAACAGCAGTAGATTGGTATTTGGCACAGCTTCCGGGAAGTCATTATAGGAATGGCACAAAATTATTGGAGGATCATTGGAATAAGTGTATTGAAATAAGAGATTATATTGCATAAAAGAATTATTTTTTCATTGCGAGCGCAGAAACTTTTCAACCAACTTGTATACTGTGTTTCGTTTAATTTTAATAAGTTTAGTAAGTATCTAATGTTTAGTTTCACTTTCTTTACTTTTTTAAAATTTAAATAAACATATGGCCCCGTGTTCTAACTTTCCCCATTTTTAGTATTTATAACAGTAGTTAGATGTTCTAGTTTTTGTACTGATTTTTTGCACAAACGATTATTACTAATTGAGGCAAACTGTATTGCACTTCAAGATTAAAATATGCACATAAATTAGTTCTAATTATTACACAGAAGAGTCGAGCAACTTGTCACTGTCCCACATACAACAAATAAAAAAAATTAAAAAAAAAATAAATAAAAAATAATAAACAGAAAACAGCAAAGAATGCAAATGGAAAATATTTACAATAAAATGTTGTTAATAGAATAAACAAATAATACAACAGTTTTTTACAATAAACACAAAATGTTTTGTAATTGTTTAGGGCGCTGAAGATACTGAAGAAAGCGCGCTGAAAGTTACAGGTGGCTAGTAATTTTATGTTAATTATGCTAAATATCTTGTTAAACAACTTATTTGACATTGCTTATTCTTCTGAATCTAAACAGTCGACGGTCTTTGAGTATAAATATATTTTTATATGTAACACAGGGTGGTCCAGATGACTTTTTAATTTTCAAGCAATCAAACAAAGTTAAAGTGATTCCAAGAATTTTCGTTACTTTAATAGATCCAGAGATACTGAGTTCTTTGTGCAAACTTTATTTGATTCTAGCCTGAGACATAGAATTTTTCACAAATGTTCTTGGAAGTTGAAGCAGAGAACGTAGATTTATTCCATTATTATTGGTGTAATCCACTCATCGTGCTTTCTTCGATTAAGGTGGCTGGAATATAACGTGGCTTTGTAGCATTCTTTATTTCTAGAAGCAACATTTTCTCCGCAATATTCATAAAAAATGGGTCAATTTTAGTTTTTGATAAACAAGCTTGTGGATGTAGAGATATGAGTTTTCAGCTTTGGACTAAACGCACGCCAATTTCTGCAAGTTCAGCTGTTGGTGAAAGTAAATCTAGTTAGAGAAGAAATGCTAAAGTCGGTAAATCTTTATAATTTCTCATTAGACAGCTGGAGTTCTTGAGAATAGTTGAGAAGTTCAATACGAATTTTCGCAATGAATGTGGTTTAAATGTGTTCAAGGGACGGTGGTTAGATTAAAGGATTGATTCGGAGAGACCCAGGTGGAGAAATTGCTTAATCTGTCTCTTCGAACTTCAGTATCCTTTTTCTATTCAATGACGCTACATCTATTTAAGATATGTTGTGCCACAATGACCTCAGCTTCGTATCGCACGATCGTTAGCCGTTTTCGATTATTAACTGCTCGCTATCATTGAGTTCTGTTGTCTTATCAAAAATTTATATGTAAAAGCAATAATCAAGATTAATCTAGTTATTGTATAATCAAAACCTCTTTGTCTTGTACGTAGCTGGCACAGCAAAGTGGTTTAAACGCTTGTAATTTGGCTCTATTTCATTATCTTAAGCTGTGTGATCTACACTAGTTGCTTGTTCGATTCGCTCCTCTCAAAAACTTGGCGCAACGAAAACAGCTTCTTCTTTGTTGATTTTGGTGTATGCCTAACAAACTGCCGTGGGTCTTGAAGTTTGTAACCCCTTTTCATGTCTGCTAGTTACACCTATCGATAGAACAGACTTTGGGTCTACCCTGTACAAAACTTCTCTAAACAGCTGTTAGCTTAATTCATTATGTATGACTTCAAAGCTGTTTAATTCAATTCTTTGTAAACTATTAATTTCATGTACCGATATGTAGATACATACATATATAATTCCCATACATATTTACTATACTACACATAGAGTACTCGTATAAGTATTAGCACGAATATAAGGAAACAAACATACGCATATAATCCGCGTATTTTTGGGAAGTACCTCAACTCAGTGCCAAAACGTTTGCTGCATTCAGAGTGGATCAATGTGCTGTTGTATGTGTGCACATGTACATATATTATATTTGTAAATACATATTATATATATTGTTTAAATGTCGTCGTGGTCCATTGTGTTCGGTATATATTTGCGAAAGCTGACGATACGGACATATTGTGGGTGGCGGTGTTCTAGAAAAGTTTTACAGTCATATAACGTGCGAAATTCCAAGAAGCATATCAAAACAAAAACAGAGTTAAGTACTTATGCGCGTTGTATATCCACATTTAAATTCATACATTAGGGTGGTTCTAAAATATATCTCTTAAGTGACAATTCAATGACAAACCCAAGCTCTATTTCCATGCTACAATGCACAAAACTCTTCTTACGACACATCTTAACTATATCTAATCCTTAACCATATTATTACCGACTGAGAGCGCAAGACTGAAAGAAAAAACCTTTTATTCGACTTTAGGAACCGCCCTAACCTTCGAATACATAGTATATGTAAAAAGCAGTAATCGTCCGCCCCAGTCGGCTTTCAACTATCAAATCGGCGTCACTTTCAATTAGCTCACAATTCATGTGGTTATATTTTATCTGGCTGACTGATTCATGTCTAGGCATTCATATTGCTACTATTTATTTCCATGTATGGTGAGTTCATTTAGGTGGAACCAGTAATTTTAAATGAAAGACGACATAATGTGAGTTTTAAATTAAATGGAGAAAATTCTTCCATAAGGTGAGAAAACCTCAGCAAAATCAAGATACATTTTTGAGTTGTATGAAGAATCGTAAGGTCCAAAACAAATAAATAATTCCATTTAGAAAACTGAGGAATATGGATGGCCGATTGCATGCCGGTCAGGTCTTTGCAAACGGATTATATACGGATATAGATTCGACCAAGGGCTGTCCCTCGCAGGTATTATTGAATTGTCTTAAGTTGCTATAACAACAAAAGCAATTCAGAAATTGATTTTAAATACTTTTCAACCAAGCAGCCTTTCTTTAACCTACAAATATCACTTGTGTCTGTTATATATATTTTGTTTTCCTTTTTCTAAATAGCTATTACAGGTCGCAAAAGAGTTCTGAGGTCTCTAATGCAACAATATTTATTTCAGTTTTTGATTAAAATTTTTGTGAGCCTATTTTCCTGTTCGATGAATAATGCTTTTTATCAAAAGAAAACTTTTTATCTAACGGAGATCGTTTTTGCCGATTAGGTTCAATTCATAATCGATTGAAATTTTACTTTGTTCTAAGCGGCGACATGGAATGAAACCAAATTTCTGTTGTTTACTACCACCGGTGACTATTTCATAGAAAAATTCAGAGTCAACTTATCGGCTCTAAAAGTGCTGACTTTTTTTTAAGAAACCGGTATAAAGTGGAAATAATTTTACTGAAATGGAATTTAACTATGGTTGACACGGAGAGTCTTTTTACTACGAACAACCTCTTTGCTAAAGATCTCGTTCGGGGTTTCGTTTTTTTTCAGCAACCGAAACGGACAGTTTTGTTTCAAAAATAGAAAAGGGTTTCAAGGTGTCGAATACGGTGAACTAGATGAGTAAGGGATGATAAGTGTGAATTATTTTTTAAGGCATTTCTTTTCTGGTCTCTGCTTAACTACTTGACTCTCTTTAAATTTTTTATTTTGATACAAAATTCAGACGTTTTGTTCATACCGAGACATTGACTAAAATTAATTTATACAACAAGTTAAGAGCCGTTTCCACGACAGTCTGTTTTACGTAACCGGAAATTTTATCCAATTCATGTATCTCAACTCGCAGCATTCCTTAAATCTATTTGGGGAATGTTTTCTGAGGCTACAAAAACAACAACATTAGAAGTTCAAGAACCCAAAAATGTCTCTAACTTTTTTGATGCTTTCTTCGTTAACAGAATCGGTTGATCCCCTCCTAATATATGATGCACAATGAACTTGTGACCCTCGCTGTATCCTGCCTTTACAACATTTACACTTGAATGTACCAACCCGAGTCCAATGGAATAGCTGTTATGAGAAGAACAGTACTGCCGCTTGAATTTCTCTTACTCAGCGATTCACAGCATCGGGTTGGGTCATTTGTTATGAGATTAGCGATGCCGGCCGGCGAAAAAGTAAAAAAAAGCATAACACAAACAAACAACAAATATTTCCACTCTCAATCTGTGTAGGTATTTATGTACAAAAACAATCAGAAGCACAGAGGCACATATAGAATATAATTAAAGCTAATTTGTAGAGGATCCTAAAAATAAATTAATTTGTATGCAGGTAGACACTTGTTATGATTTTTGCATAACGAAAATGGAAAAATAATAAAACTAAAAAAAAAGTTAAGTAAATAACTAGAAAAGATAGACAAAAAACCGGTTTAACGCTACAAAAGGTGTACCTTCGAATAAGTTGAGTTAGACGCGAAATTGATAATGACATTCGTAGAGCAAAAACAATAATAAAAACAACAACAGAAAACACATATATTATATATACATACGTACATACATATATACGAGATGCAGGCGCTGTTCGGAAGAGGTAACTGCGAAAGACAAAGCATTTGGTAGAGAACATTGCACCGACACACGTCAGAACTTATCGGCGACGATGTCACGAACTACGTTGACCGCCTGCAGCTTTAAGTATAATAGCCAATTAAGCAAAAAAGAAAAAGGAATAAGCGAAATCTAGAAACGAGATCGTATTAATTTTTATATATGTGCATACGTACGAATGCATTTACAGAAAGAAAACAAAAAAAAAAGAACAACATGTAATCAAATCTAAAGAGATGTGCAAACCAAATCATTGCAAATAGAAAAGCAACAACAAAAACATGAATAATAATAAAGCAAAGGAAATTATTTATCAATTGGTGAATCCCGAGCTGATGACCGCTCGGCTGGGCCACCAAGTTGCGCCGAAGCCAAGTAGCCGGTTTGCCTATAAAAAGAAACTGGCTGGTGTTGCATTCAGCAGTTGAGTATTTACTTCGACTGGCAGAGAACGAACGCGCTAACATGGGTTTTACAAAAGCTTTACACTTGACTACGGCCATACTGGGCGTGGCTGCTCTAACGTTGGTGCAAGCTGACGAGCAAATTTGTAAGCTTAAATGATGGATTATTTATTTTATTCTGTAAATTATGTGCTATGAAAAAAAATCACATCTTGTGTAGATCGCATGTGCGTGCCGGAAAAGTATTATCAAGACTGTTTGGATCTGCTGAAGGATCCCTCCGAGGCTGGCATACTAATGCAGTGTGTAGCGGGACGTGATCGCATCGATTGCTTGGACAAAATCAACCAACGTAAGGCAGATGTGCTTGCCAGCGAGCCGGAGGATATGTATGTTGCCTATCACACAAAGAATCAGGATTATCGTGTGATCTCGGAAATACGCACCAAAGATGATAAAGACGGTGAGTAACAGTGAATAGTTAGAGCGCGATGCAAGATGCGAGAATTAGCAGAAATATTATGAAGTTTTGTTATGATGAGAAATGTATGCTTTCGTTTCAGCCGAATTCCGTTATGAGGGCATTATTTTGGTGAAGAAAAATTCAAACATAAATAGTTTGAAGGAGTTGCGCGGCAAGAAATCGTGTCACACAGGTTTCGGACGTAATGTGGGCTATAAGGTGAGTTATTTACATATTATTATATGGTATAGTTTTTTATTTTATGGTTGGAAAAGTAAGTGAAAGTGAATTAAACGTTTAAATAATAAAGTGCAATTATAAAATTGTTAATCCCGTGATTCTCAACCTGTTTAGGAAAAATTTCAGTGAATAAAGGACAATCCATGAGCCTAACAAATTGCATGGACTGTTTAGAAAACAAAAAAAAAAAAGTTGATTTCTGTAATATACCCTTGTATAACTAAACAGGGTTTAGCCATGTCCCTCTGTCTGTCCTTCTGTATATATGCGAACTAATCGCTCGTTTTTGAGAAATCGATCTGAAATTTTGCACACGTCCTTTTCTACACAATAAGCTGCTCATTTGTTGGGACCGCCGTTATCGGACCACTATAGCACATGCCTGAGAATTATTTTTCATTCCTTCTGATCTAGGGCGCGTTAAGAGATCGAATCGATAACGGAAAAATTTGCATACGGGAAAACTAAGCTTAAGTTAAAAGAAATAGAAAATTTGAATTTGAAAATAATCCTCAGGAAAAGAGCTATAATAGTTGTGCATTAAAACTGACAGGCAGTTAAATAAAAAATTGTAAATTGTGATGGCAACACTTCTAAAATTATTTTTAATTTTGAGGCTGCTAAACATCTCTAGCTTTAATTCTTTATGCATTGAACTATTGTATTAATTTATTTTTCAACGAATTTTATTAGGTTAAAATTTGAAACAGTTGGCAACCCTGCACAAACACTTTTAATTGACACCTTAATTGAAACACTGCAATTCGAAATCTACATTACGCTTTTTACTTATAACTGTATAGGAATTAAAATTTTAGACAGGTGGCAACGCTCGCCAAAAATATTTTGGATATAGGATTGCATAAAGCTCTTTATTAGATACCTATATCATAACGTATTCTTTTTCAATTAATTGTATTAATTGCACAATTTTAAACAGGTGGCAACACTTAAATTTTTTTAACGGAAAATCTCTTGGATACCTCTTTTGTAGTTTTTCTTTATCTTAAAATTTAAATATATAACTTTTTTTAACAGGTGGTAACCCTTTGCCTCCTAACTATCTTTTTGTTTCGAATCACCCGATTTCTAACAGCACCATTAAACAGATTAAAGAAATTTGTTTTGTATAAAATGATTAGTGATAGAAATGCGTGAAAATTCGTAAATAAATTCTCTCACGTAATCCCCTCACAAGTACAATATTTACTAAAGTACATCATTACATATATACAAGTACATATCTATTTCTTCATCTCAAAAAACTTGCGTGTCTATAATTTGATATAAAGCACAGAAATATTCCATAGCCTCATTAATCTAGCTAAACTGCAACGCCTATTCAAATTAGTCAAGCCAACTAAGCTTAGCGTAAGTAATTCGAGTAATCAGTGAAGATTAGAATCGTTAAGCTACTTAAGGTTAAATTACCGGTTCGTGCAAAGAATAAATTTCCTAAGAAAAAATACTAGTTTGTATAATTCTAATTAACTAATATAAAGAAACGAGTTAGTTTTGAGGCTAGTTTAGAGTATACATAAACATATGATTGGGTCGCACACTCACTACTCTTGATGTTCTTACGCTTGAATGACAAAACTCACGTTTTCTTTTAGATCCCCATCACTAAGTTGAAGAACACACAGATACTTAAGGTTTCTTTGGATCCCGAACTGAGCGCCACCGATCGCGAGCTGAAGGCTTTATCAGAATTCTTCTCACAATCTTGTCTGGTTGGCACCTACTCACCATATCCGGACACTGATCGTCTACTGAGTAAGTTAAAATGACTAGACGTTAGATCTGCTTTGCATTAGTGTTTTCACCATCCATTTTCCTCCTTCCACAGAGAAGAAATACTCCAGCTTGTGTGCGCTCTGCGAGAAACCCGAGCAATGCAATTATCCCGACAAATTCTCCGGTTATGATGGCGCAATCCGTTGCTTAGACAAGGGCAAGGGTGAGGTGGCCTTCACGAAGGTGCAATACATCAAGAAATACTTTGGCGTAAGTTTTAAAAACTTAATCCGAAATTATTAAATAAAACTTTCATTTATTAACTTGATTTCCACACAGCTGACACCCGGCTCCACACCTGAAGGCGATCCCTCCGAGTTCGAGTATTTGTGTGAGGATGGCAGTCGTCGTCCAGTCACTGGCCCAGCTTGCTCGTGGGCTCAACGTCCATGGACCGGTTATATCTCGAACGCTGATTCGGTAAATGGCGAAGAGAAATTGCATAATCTACAAAATCGTCTTGAGAAATTCTTTGAGAATGGTTTGCATGCCGAAAACAAGATTGCCGCACAACATTTACTCATCAACGAGAATGCCGTGTACCACAGCAAACCGGAGGCAGTCGAACCAAAAGTCTATCTCGAGCGTGCCGGTTATAAGGATGTGATCGAACGTGATGGCAGCGCCATCAGGAAGATGCGACTCTGTGTGCGTACACCCATTGAGATGGCCAAGTGCGATTCAATGCGCCGTGCTGCCTACTCACGTGATATTCGTCCTGAATTGGAGTGTGTGGTGGACCAAGATTGTTTGAATGCCGTTGAGAATAAAAATGCCGATTTGGTTGTGGTGTCAGGCAACCAATACGCGGATGCGCGTCAAGAAAAACTCAAGCCGGTCGTATATGAAAGCTACGGGCCCGACAATGTCTATGTTGCTATTGTAGAGCCGAGCGTTAGCAAGGATTTGCAGAAGCTGCCAATGTAAGTTAACTTACACGAAATTACGACTGAATTTTATAGAATATACATTCCATATATACCTTCTCCCTGTAGCAACTATGATGCGCAGAATAAACGCGCCAGTTTAGCGGCTAATTTCCTGAACAAACGTCGCAACATTAATCCCTGTCAGAATTCACCGTCCACTGAGAAGAATCTCATGATCGTACACTCAAGCGAATTGGAACAGCATAAGGATAAACAGCTGGTGTGCCCTAGTTTGGAAGTTAAAGCCGTAACCGAGTATCATACATGTAACTTGGAGGCTAACTTACCGTCGGCTGTCTTCATACGCAAGAGCACGACTCCCGTTGAGCAGGAGACTATCAAGCAATTGTTCGTTTCGATTTCCTCTAAGTTTGGTAAAGAGGGCAAGTTGTCCGATGTTTTTGCTCTCTTCGCTCCATTCGTAAAGGACGTCAAGAATGTGTTGTTCGATGTGAGTTTAACCTCTTAGCTCTATTCTGTGTCTATTGTTAATTTTGTATATAATAAATTACTATTTTATTTCATTGCAGGACGATGCCACTGAATTCGTAACTGAGCTGAAAAATCCCAACCTCAATGAGCAAATCTATAATGAGCTCGCATGTGATAAACAATCGATTTCAAAAAATCTCTAAAAATGCATGGCTAGATACATACATACACGTCCCTGTAATCATATTTATAAGCTCTCATAATTACTAAAATAAAAGTTATAATTGAATGTGAAAAATAATGTTTTGAAGTGCAAGGATATTTTACCCTCTCATATTCCATAATCAAAAAGATTCGTAGCAGTCTTGTAAAGCTTTCAACATAAGCCTTCGAGCATTTTTAAAATGCACAGAGATATTTCCAATCTTCTGATAAGAGGCGAATGTAAAACATCCGTAGAAAACCATATTCGTGGTCAACCAGAATTGAAAAATGCTTTTTTGTGATTAGGTAATTCCATGCTCATTTTCTCCATCATGGAACCTATAAATCCCGGCAGAGTACTCTTTAATCTGGTGTATACTTGTAAATCCTTGAAAATATTACGATCGATCGATCGAGAACTAAAGATTAAATTGAATCGATAAATGGATGGATTCGATATATTATTTATACTCCGACCACGGTATATTAAGTTTGCCATGAAGTTTGTCCCCCAAAGAAGGAAGCGTCATTGACCCTATAAAGAATATATATATAGTATATAAGTAAATTATCAAACAAATGAGTATTACTGCCTCAATCCGTTTGAAATTTTGCCCATGTCCTTTTCTCCCTAATAAGACTAAATCAAAATGAAGCCATTGAATTGGAAAATTTTTTATCAGACATGATATCTTCACGAAATTTGATATGGATTAATGTGCGAGCTATCGCTACGATCGGACCACTATTGCATATATCTGCCATTCAAATTGACCGATAAAAATCTTTTCATACCCTTTTGTGATATAAGAAATGCACGCATTATAGCCTCGGTGAAGCCGAAGAGCTATCAAAATTGGTGTATAGGATTACGTATATTTTTACGACACTTTATGTTAATTGGACAATTTTTCGAAAAATCGTTGAAAATATTGCTATATTCTGATATCGAGAATGAAAATATTTGCGTGACATAAAGTCTTTTTGGAAAGTTGTGACACCTTAGATAATTTGGCTCGTGTTATGCATCGAAACTCAAATACTTACTTCGGCGAGCGTTATATTAGTTAAGGATGTGTTTGAAAAATTTCATGAGCTCGAATGTATTTTGTTAAGATGATAAAACAATGTATAAAATATATTTTTTCAGCGATTCTGTTAATAATAATCTCTTAAGAAAATTAAAGATTTTTAAAGAAATTTTCCAAGATTTTATTTGTAATATTTTCACTTTTTTTCTAACTTTCTGTTGATCTGTTATAAGCGATTATAGCGTTGAATATAGTATTGTGAAACAAATATATATATATATATATATCACATTAAAACGCTTAACTCATTTAATAGCTAATTAGCAGCAAATGTCTTTAAATATTTTATAACAAGTTTTTTTTTTTTTAATTATGAAGAAAAAAGCAAATATTCGTAAGCTTCTCCATATTATCGGAAAATACTTATAAATGTATGGAAACAGCTAAATATATATTTAAACAGCTTAATTTATTTTAAACACGAACGCATCTATATAATATACAAACATATGGCTAAATCCAAATTGCTAATTATTGATTGTTCACAAATTTTCTTTATATCGATTTTTTCGTATGAAAATGCATTTGAAAAATTCGTACGACTATGATTTCTACAAAATACACATAATATTTGTATGTACATATACATATTACTTATTTATGTTTTTACGGACTATATTGTGTGCAAAGTTTTTTATATTTTAATTTTTTTAAATCCGACAGAAAACAGAATAATTTTTTCTTCAACTGTTTGGAATTATGCAAAATTGTCTGCTTTCCTTAACATAAGTATACTGACAAAAATATGCAAAAATCCAAATATTCAGATTCGACAATGCCTAAATAGTATAAAAGTTGTTTGTATTAGAATAAATCAACATTTTATGGAAAACAACCTAACTTAAAAAATAAATTTACTTTTACCACTTTTAGTACATCCCTTTTTTGGGATTTGAGATGTTGTAAACTTTTGTGCTCGACCCTTTAAGAAACGAAAACAATCTGCTAAAAACATTTTGACTATTTGCTAACTAGGTTACAGAGAAAATTTTTGCAAACTGGCAAAGGCTACTAAAAAAATTGTGTACTTCTTTAATTCACATAAGATATATATTTTATTTGAATAACAGATAAGGATTTTGTTTTTTTGGAGAATATATTAAGCGTTTAGTAGTCAGAGATGGAGTATTAAAAATTTTTAAAAGGAAAAGTACGAGGGCTGCTATATAGCTGGCTGGCCTAGGCAACACTAAGTGTTGCCAGGTGCAATCTGACATTTCCATTGGAAAATACGATCGCGGTGCTTAAAAAGACGTTTATAAGATCGTCACACGACGAATCATGGATCTATGCGTATGAGTCCGAAACAAAACAGCAATCGACCGAAAAAAAAAACAAAAAAAAAACATTTTCGTTGAAAAATATTCGTATTTTCATTATTAGGCCAGAAATATATATAGCAGCCCTCGTATACGTTTTACTCCAAAAATTAATTCCGTGGACTTGAGTGATCAGAAATATTAATATGAGTCTACTATACGATTTTGAGGGTTATCAAAAGCAAGACACTGCTAATGGTAGTGTCTTAACAAATAAATATTTTTGACTTATTTGGTCTCTAGAAAGATGAGGTATTACATCCGCTAATTTTAAGGGGTTATATGCGGTTCGTCGAGCAAAAAACGCCCTATTTTCAAAATTTTTTTTTTCTTATAACAAATGGAATATTTTGTTCAAACTTTTTATTATTACCAAGATATATATTTGATAAAGATTTTGTAAAATTTTTAAGGGAAAATATTCAAAATTCGGTCATTACGACGTCATTTCCGGGAGTCTCTCGGAAAAAAGGGGCTTCCGCGTTGACAGCAGAACTTCCGACAGAATCATCAAAAGCAAAAAGAAAAAAAAGGCAATGAAAATTGTTTTTTTAGTTTTTAAAGCCGTGAAACCCATGTAACCCCTTGAAAACCAAATTGAAATATAGAACATTTTATTCGAAACTATCTAACCGGCAAGCCATTACCATATAATTCAACGCTTGTTGTTGGCTTCAAATATGTAAGACCTCATCTTAGTTATAAGTTAATCTTAAATATATAATATATAAACATATTTATTAACATTTAGAAGCCATACATTTCTGAAAATTCTTATAAATAATATTTTTTTCTCGAACTTTCATATAAAATTCGTTGTCGAAGAAAATACTTAAATGCGAGTAAATAAAACGTGAAATTGATTAAATGTTGTTTATTTTATTTTATCCAATTATGGTTTATCTAAAACAATATAATTAACATAAAAAATGTTTTGCGTACGAAACTAAAACAAAGGTACATTAGTTATACTAAATAAACAATTACAAATTAAATTCTCAGCTTGTGTAAAAAAGGAAAATCATTTATAAAATCGTCGCATTGAATGAAAAATCTCTGTCATATAACAATGGATCGCAGAAATGCGTTTAAAGCTGCAGCATTTGTCATCACGCTATATATATTTTTATTTTATATTTTCTTTTTTGCTTTACTGCAGCGTCTAAACTGTCAATATTGAATTAGTGTTAAACTAGCAAAATACATTTCTGAGACTAGTCGGTGTCGTCCTGCTGTCGCTGGCATGAACACTTTGGATACTGATCGGATTCCTCCTCCGAGTAGTCTTCATCGTGCGTGTGCGTCACCGTTTGCGGCGTTGGCGGACGTGTATGTGGCACTGTGGAGTTGGTTGAACCGGCTGAATTCATGGACTGTAAGTGAGAGGATGGCTTAGTTAATTGTTTTTAAAAAATAAGCAGGTTCAAAGTATTTCATTGGCGATAATATGAAAAATGTATAACAATTTCAGTGAATTGATATTTGTAAAGAGGTGGCAACACAGCCTATAAATATTTTCAATTGTAAGTTTTTTTTAAGCTCTTAACTTTTACACCAATATAATAGCGTTTTTTATACACAGTACGCTTTTTTACTCATACATTTTAAAAAGATGGCAGCACTTTTCAAAAAAAAATTATACAGAAATACTTCTAACGCCTGTTTAGTTCGATGCCCACAATGTAATAAAAAATAACTATTTAGCAATTTAATTGTATACAATTTTTAAAGAGATGGCAACCTTTTCAAAAATATTTACTTGTAAGCTTTGTTAAAGCTCTTAAGTTTGATACCCATATTGTAATAATTTTATTATATCTATTTCAATGTATTAACATTTTTAATCAGTTGGCAACTCTTATTAAAAAATATTTTTAACTTAAAGCTTTTCTAAACAGCTGGCAACTTTCTCGCTTTTTTGTTCTAAGTATTTCGATTTTACACCAAAGAATCTAAAAATATTAATCAAATCGTTTCAGCCCTTACGATAGTAGCGTCGAAAGTGATATGAGCGTTACGGTTTTTCGTTGCGTAACACGTTGCAAAAATTTCATGTCAATAAAAAATAGCTAACCTTAATTTCCTCGGTCAATTTTTCGATTTCCTCTTCTTTGCCCTCGGCGCGCTCAATGTTCGCTATGGCCTCCTGCGCTTTCTCGGTAGGCGTTGAAATCGTACTTAACACACCATCGACGCTTTCGTTCTTGCTGCGCGAGCGCTGTATTGATGGGGTCTCCATTTGGAAACGTTGCTCGTGTGTCACCGTAGATTCGTGCGGCAGCAGCATAGCCGGTGCACGGAACATATACGAGAAGGGATAATAGTACAGGTTGAGGAAGGTTGCCGCATATAAATCGGCATAACGGGATACTTGACTGGAGAAGAATGTCTGCCGTGAACCGGAGCGGAAGAGCGAACCCATCATGCCGTAGGCCATGTCCATTTTATGTGTGACATCACGTATGCTGGAGCGCAATTTTGAGATATCTGGTTTCTCTTTGGCGCTCGAGTCCAAATTTCTAACGCGTAAATATAACGGTTATTTATATGGACGTACATTTTTGTATGAAATATGATTTACTCACTTATACATATCACCGAGCATCACATCCAAATGCTGCAACTCTGCAAAATACTGACACTTGTCCGTCCACACATGCAGCTCCTGCACGAGTTCGGGCACAATC